TTGGATTCCCCGCTTACCTCCCAACACCTCAGGGTAGAGGTACTGTTGTACCCAAGAAGAGGGAGTGGAGTGGAAAAAGAGAAGAAGAGTGATCTTCATGGGGTAAGGTAGCTGATCTTATGCACCAAGAAAAAAAGGCTGTGAACTGCTACCTGCTCAGTTTACCCTATAATGCCAAGAAACTCTCCCTTGTAAGGAGCTATCCAAGTTTGGGAGGAAAGTTTTCTTTTACTGTTGAGGAATGTTAGTCATGAAAAAAAGAGATAGGGCTCTGACTTCATAGCACAAGGTTGGGAGTTCCCTTGGCCTTCCATGAAGAAACTGTGAGAAAAGATCTCACTAGATGCTCTGAAAATGTGTCCTGAGAAATATGGGGCTCTATTCACAAAACTGGAGAGCTTCAACCCCTATGGATGTATCTTGTATCCTCATAGGTGGTGAGGTCAGCATACAAGGAAGTACAGAGGTTCTTCCCGTAGGTATCAAGGGATCAGATCTGCAGTATCCTAGGGGTTGGGCAGAACAGAAAACAGGACAGCTGACTGAGACCCTTGGCACTATTTCTGGGTAGACTGCCACGCCACAGTCTCAGCTCATAAAGAGCTCCCCTCCTTGGACCCAGCCTACACAGCTGTTTTTCTTTTCCCTTAGGTTCATTTTCCAGGGTAGGGGAAATAATCATGAGTTGTTAGTTTTGCTGTGGGAGTGTAGTCTCTCCTTCTAATTTACACTTATATGGGGCTCTTTAGTTTACAAAGTAGTTTTTAAATTTTTTATTTTATTAATCTTCATGGCAATTCTGAGATTCCACATTTTACATATTAGGAGCCTGGTATAGAAAAGTTAGGAAACTCACCTGATATCAGTACAATAAGGACTTGAACTCAGGTCTAACTATAAATCATATGCTCTTTCTGCTAGTCCATGCTGCCAAATTCTCTTCATTGAAATGATGGCAAAGCCAAATCAGGATGAGCCTGGGGTCTCCAAGGCTCTCACCCCCACTCCTCATCCTCACTACACCCCAGGAGGGGAAGCCTCACTCCTGAACTGGCTTTCCTAGTGATGGGCCAAGGTTACTACCACCCCACCAGGGGGCGGCACTAACTTAGAACAAGAAAGCTTAGTTTAGGTGGCTTGGGGAGCAATTAGCAGTCACCCCGCTTCCAACAGGTAAGAATTAGAGGCTTCTAGGGAGCTGACCTCTCCAGGTAGGAGGCTGTACCGTGTACTAGTCCCAAGGCCTAAAGAAGAGGGGATGAACAAATGGGCCTCATGTGTATTTAGTAGTAGGGAAAGGAATGGGCCTTCTCAGTAGACCCAGAGTTAGAGGACAAAAAGGGGGGAAATCTTGGTGCCAGAAGTCACTGTGGTCCTCTGTTACTAAGAGCCCAGGTTGGATGGACAAGTGTGATTTTTTTTGAAGGAACTGAGTATTAATGCAGCCAGAGTAGTTGGAGTGCCATTATTGCATGGTCCCAGGGAGACTAAGAGTTCTTTGGCTAAAGAGCCCTGGAACAAGAAGCTACTTAAGCATCTTTTCCTAGGCAAAGGGTCTCCTTATCTAGAAACACATGAAGTGATTTCTGACTGTCTATAGCCTCAGCTTCCTGGTTGTTCCAAGCCTTTCTGGGCTCCTCCTGAGTTTCTAAACACTGAAGAGCTCCATGTGGGAGGTCAAATGCCCCTAAGGTTGGAGATCTTTTGCACAAATTCCTGAGGGGAAGTGGGGGAAAGGAGGTAGAAAAGAGAAGGGAGGTTGGGGGTGGGGCACACAAAAGGATGGTGTAACTAGCCTGGAGCAACTAGTAGAAATAAGCTGCTCTGGGGGCTCAAGAAGCTGCCAATCTCTGCACCCTGGGCCCCTGGAAAAAAAGACTTATCTCTAGCAGAATATCAGCAGCCAGCAGTGAGGGAGGAAGGGAGGACACATAGCTTCTAATACCCAAGGCCTCAAGAGCTGACAGAGCCTCAAGGAGAGCCTCACCACCGTCACCCGGGGGCCATCCACTAATCAGGCAACAAATATTAATTATGTACTTGGAGCTTGCCACTGTGAGGGGGCACTGCTGGGGGCTGCCCGACTGGACAACATGATCCATGACCTGGGCACTTATACTTTGACACTAATTACATGAAACTGTAAACAATACAATATAGATTGGGTAAACCGTGTGGAACAGATTAAAAATACTGTACAAGAAATTTGGCTGCAGAGGTCAAGCAACCACTTTATAAAAGAGAGGGGACTTAAGCTTGGTCTTGACGAACCAGCAGAATTTAGAGAGGGGAGATCCTTCCCAGGAGAAGGAGGGAGGGAGGAATGTGCCTTGTGTATTTGAGGCACAGTGCGAAGCCTGGCCTAAATGTAGTTGAGGGTGTGTATCCGCAAATTGGGAGAAGTTAGAAAGAAGGAATCTTCAAATCCTGTAGAGAGCTGGGGCCCAAATGTCCTGTGGGGAGTGGAGCGCCAGCCATGCTGAGGTTCCAGCCCCTCAGAGAACTGGCTCAGGACAGGATAGGTCAGCCTTGGGCTGGTGTTACGCCACTGTCCGGTAAACTCCACCCAAGCCTGCACTCAAGGAAAGGGGTGGAGCTGTGGAATGCTCTTTCCCACCTGAGTCTAGTTCTTGCTGAACCAGGAGCGCATCTCCCCAATGCCCACCAGCCCCAGGCAGCCCCCCAAAAGCTTGGGAGGAGTACAGTGCTGTGAACTTTTCCAGGGTGGGCGCAGTGTCCTCCACAGCAGGTTATTACTCAGATTGTCTCCCAGGCCCCTGTGCAGAGGAGTCTGGAGCAGAGGCCGAGCAGCTTGTCTTCGGGTGGGAACTGTGTATGGTCTCCTCCTCCACTCCCAACCCCCACCCCTACCTTGGCCTGTTTTCACCCTGGATTTGGCTAGCTTTGAGTCTCCAGGAATGCCCCTGCTGTGTCCCAGCATCCTTTTAGACCAGACTGCTGGCCACTCCCCTACACACACCTCATGCCCCTTTCCTGCTGCCTCTGCCCCCTCCAGAACTCCATCCGCCACAACCTGTCCCTGCACAGCAAGTTCATCAAGGTTCACAATGAGGCTACTGGCAAGAGCTCTTGGTGGATGCTGAACCCCGAGGGAGGCAAGAGTGGCAAAGCGCCCCGCCGCCGAGCAGCCTCCATGGATAGCAGCAGCAAGCTGCTCCGGGGCCGCAGCAAGACCCCCAAGAAGAAATCAGCTGTGATGCCAGCTCCTCCTGAAGGTGCCACTCCAACGAGCCCTGTTGGCCACTTTGCCAAGTGGCCAGGCAGCCCTTGCTCTCGAAACCGTGACGAAGCTGATGTGTGGACCACCTTCCGTCCACGAAGCAGTTCAAATGCTAGCACCGTCAGCACCCGGCTCTCCCCCAGGAGGCCAGAGTCTGAGGTGCTGACGGAGGAGGAAATACCAGCTGCAGTCAGCAGCTATGCAGGGGGTGTCCCTCCCACCCTAAATGAAGATCTAGAGCTGTTAGACGGGCTCAATCTCACATCTTCCCATTCCCTGCTATCTCGGAGTAGTCTCTCAGGCTTCTCTTTGCAGCATCCTGGGGTTACGGGCCACTTACACACCTACAGCACCTCCCTCTTCAGCCCAGCAGAGGGGCCCCTGTCAGCAGGAGAAGGGTGCTTCTCAAGCTCCCAGTCTCTGGAGGCCCTGCTCACCTCTGATACGCCACCACCCCCTGCTGATGTCCTCATGACCCAGGTAGATCCCATTCTGTCCCAGGCTCCAACACTTCTGTTGCTGGGAGGAATACCTTCCTCTAGTAAGCTAGCCACAGGAGTTGGCCTATGTCCCAAGCCCCTAGAGGCTCCAGGCCCCAGCAGTCTGGTTCCCACCCTTTCGATGATGGCACCACCACCAGTCATGGTGGGTGCTCCCATTCCCAAGACAGTGGCGACTCCTGTGCTCACACCCCCTACTGAAGCTGCAAGCCAAGACAGAATGCCTCAGGATCTAGATCTTGATATGTATATGGAGAACCTGGAGTGTGACATGGATAACATCATCAGTGACCTCATGGATGGGGGCGAGGGACTGGACTTCAACTTTGAGCCAGGTATGGCATCCCCTAATCACGTAGCATCTCACAACCTATAGCCACTCCTCGGTGCCCAGCTAGTCCCATGATCTGAGCAAGTGAGAGATTTAGAACAAGGGGTAGCTGGAGCTCCTGGGGAATTGGAGGGAGGATGTCATATTAGAGTGGCATGGTTTCCACGTGGAACCTCCAAGCCCCTCAGCAGTGCCCACCCTTACAGAGCAGCACAGCGGGGTTAGGGGCAGGGGCTGTCTCTGTTTTCCTTGGTATGGACCTTGATGGTGGAAAGTTCTCATGCCCCAGATGAGCCTCTTACCTTGTCCTCCATTTTTTCTTTCCACAGATCCCTGAGCCATGGCTGGAAGCTTTGCCCCTGCTTCAGAGGTGGAGCCAGGCATGCCCATATCCACTCTTTACCCTTGACCCGTCCCCGGGAATTTGGCACCCTGCTTTAGAGCTAGGGTGGGGTCTGCTCACATGGGTGTTGAGGAAATTATAAAGATAAAGCTGCCCCATATGGGAACTATGGGGGGAGGGAGAGGGGAGGGGGAGAGGGAGAGGGTTTATTCTCACTGTGCCAATTAGGGGGCAAGGCCCCCTCCCGGGAGCCATCCTCAGCTCCCCCCATTCCCACCCCCAGGTTTTGTAGCAGGGGCGAGCAGTGCTGTTGGAAATGTGAAATCACCAGTGGCCTTACCCCTGCCTTTGGGAGCAGGATTTTTTGTAGAGTCTTATCTGAGCTGGTCCAGGCTAGGTTGAGCCTGGGATTTTTATGTAGTGGCCCCTGAGGCCAGTGGTGTGGGGGGGCGGCTAGTGGGGACCTGGAAGGGCCAAGGTCTCAGCACTGGAGTGGCTCGCCAGGTCAAATCATCCTTGGAAGGCTACAGATAACAGAAAGGCTTTTTATAAACTTTTAAAGAAGTATAAACACAAATATAGAGATTTTTAACAGTGGCAAGGTGCTAGTAATGGGGAGAACGCTTTTTTCTTTCTGAAGGCTTTGTCATAGTGACATGATGCAAACACTACAGACATTACTCGGAGAAACACGGAGAAGTGGGGGAGAGAACTCCAGGCCAACAGAGCAGCGGTGGGGAGCAGTACTCAGCAGGGGGAAGAGCCCCCAAGTGGACCAGGTCAGAACAAGGTCTGGTGGAACTAGTTTGGAGTTTCCCTAAGGAGAAAGCTAAGCCAGGTCCCCTCATTCTGTCACCTTGTGCCTGGGAGTGTGTGGTGTTGGGATGCAGCCACACTCTTACATAAGCCACTGTGAGTTAGTGCTACAGTGGGAGAGTGCATTGAAGGCCTGGAATTAGTTTGTGGCCTGGGAAGGGAATGGGAGGTGGGGAGAAGAGAAGGAGGGAAGGATTTAGAGTGGTAAAGTTAGGCACAGAGACCTCCCTGTTCAAGGCCCCTGACAGCTGTCCCTGCCCTTCTTCTCCTTGCCTGACTACAGGGGTTATGTGGAAGTGTGTGGTGGCAGACGGGGGAGGGGTGGAACAGGGAAGGGGGAGCTGGGGAGCTTGGCTGAGGGTCTGGGAAATGAGTGGAGATGGAGGGGAATGTGGATCAGGTTTACTAGCACCTGCCAGGGAGGCCATCTGGGGCTCCTTCTCCACCCCAGCCCCCAAAGCAGCCCCTCCCCCAGTCCCCTTTGCATTGTCCCCTCCCCCGCCCCTGCTGTGGGTTCCCATCATTTCCTGTGTCAGCACCTGGCCTACCCAGATTGTATCATGTGCTAGATTGGAGTGGGGAAGTGTATCAAATCAATAAATGAATAAATTCAATAAATGCCTATAACCAGCCCTGGTTTCTGCTGTCTCGCTGCTCCCCTCGGATAAGGGGGAGAGAGGGGAAAGGCAAATGGCTAACTGCAGGGACTGCCCAGAGGCATAGAGGTGAGGGGTCGGAATCTCGGAATCTCACAGGCAGGGGTGGTGGAGTGTGGTGGGCGGAGGGAAGATGCCCATGGTCACCTAACTCCAGCAGGAGTAGGAGGGCTATGATAGGCCTGCCAAGGGGAGGTAGTCTGGTTGGAGAAGACGCCACCCCCTACTCTGTCCCTCAAAGGCTCATTGTACTAGACTTCACAGTCTTTCCTCATCCCCACCCATGTGCCCACCTCAGCCCTCTCCTGCCGCTCCTCTCCTACCCACCCTCAGAGCCTCCACTGTGCCTGGAGCTTACTTAAGCCTTGGTGCAGATATTGAGAGAAGGAGTCTTTCTTGAAAAAGGAACCTCACATTAAATTCCAGTAATTTCATACCTAGTATTACTGCTCTCACTTGGTCACTTTATTTAGCGACGTTTATCCCTCCTATTGAGAAAGTCTGCTCTTGTCTTAAAGAATGGACCCTTGCGAGTGGGCCTCTCTTCAGATGATCTTCCCGATGGTTTGGACTGGAAAAAGAAAGGGTCAGTAAGTAGATAAAGAGGCCCCTGCAGGGGAGCTTTCTGCAAACTAGGGCCAAAGGTAGGACAAAAGAGGTTGCAGGCAGGTCTTGGGCATGGACGTTGGATTTGGAAAGGAAATTCATCCCAGGGGGCAGGGATAGAGGAGCCTTCAGTTGACTGGCAGGGAAAGGAGGGTGCTGAGACAGACCACATTTGGGGAGTCTTACTGGGACGTTCACGGGGGATTCAGCTGGAACGACTTTCTTGGCTTCTTGGCTTTTAAGCGCTTTTATTCGGTTCTTCTCCAGGACGTCACACTGTGTGCGCAAGGTGTCTAGGAACCAGGAAAAGGCACCCCCACCTCTGAGGACTAGAGACCTTACCTACCCATCCCGTCCCTCCCATCATTCAAATGATCACTTGGAGTAACAGGGCCTAAAGCTAGGCTGAGGAGTGATGTGAAGGTGCCTAAGCTTTGCCCTTTTTAGTGGGAATTGGGACACCAAGACTTCAAGAGAAAAGGATGAAGGGAAATATGGAAAGGGTAGGGTGGTGATAGGGAGATATGCCAAGAAAATGGCTGAGAGATGGGAGGGACAAGTTAGTGACACATGCACACTCCGCCTGGTTTGAGCTAAACATCCCTCCTAAAGTAGACCCAGACCCTATTCCCCTTTTCCTAGGATCCTGTGATCCTACCTGCTGTATTACACCAGTCTCACCCTATATCACCCTCACCAGTCATCACCCAGCTATGTACAGTACTCTCCATGTTCCTCCTTCCTCCGTCATGCTCCTTACCAATTAGCTCAGGTTCTGGATTCTTCAGGAGGGGCACAAAAGCTTTGTAGGCATTCTCAAGTCGGGTTCCTGTGAATACAGCATTGTGCTATCCCAAGCCCCTGTCACCCTGTCTCCAACCTTCCAAAGCCCAAGATTTCAGGACCCTAACACTCAACACTACTTTGAGCTGGTCTACCTTATTTCCTCCCCTCAGGTCCATCCCTAGGATCAGGTGGGGGGCATGGTATGTGTGAACCTAACCTATTGGCATAGAGGCAATACCCTTTCTTAGGCTGACTAGAGATGCCCTATGTTAAGGGCAAGGTTTGCAATCCATCTTGAGGGCCTTGCTCTATCTCTGGGGAATGCTCCCAAGCCTCTACCTGGTGCCCCACGGTCCACCCTACAAACGTAGTAGGTGCTTCGAGCTGTAAGGAATTTGCTGGCGTATTCTCCAGGTGTCTTCGACAGGAAGAAAAACTTCATTATCCCCGTTTCATCACACAAATCGATGGTGTCTGGAGAGAGGCCACAGGGTAATTGGGGCAGCTAAGGAAGGAGAGTGAAAGCGAAAGGGGCCAGTGATCTTATCCAGAGTGGATTGGGGGAAGCTGTTGGGATTCAAGGAGCTCTCTTCTTGCCAGCAGGAGGGTTTGGGGGCTCGAGATGACCCTACTACTTCTGACCCTTGGCCATTAGTCCCCACCCCAAACTCCTCACTTGTTTTAGGCAACTTCATTTCGCTGCGGATGTAATGCAGCAACAGGAGGACAGAGCAATTGGTATTGACCAGAAACTCCTTATTATCTGAGAAGAGATAGGATGGGGCATGTGGCCCTTCTCTAGTTACACCATCCCTGTGATCTCCACTGCTCTCAAACCTCCCCAGCCCTACACATGGACTCCAGCTCTGTGATTCCCCTCACCTCCATGTTTGATGAAGATGAACATGCTCTCAAGATCTTTTCACTCTTCAGAGAGAGGCCTGATGAGTCATGCAGAAAGAGGGTGTTCTAGAGGCTTTGAGGGGCCAAGCGGGCCCATAGTGTTGGGGGACTAGAGAGGCAGATGGATTACATAGGCTGAGGAGGCCCAGACTGGGCAGACAGGAGAGAGCTATTGGCAGTTGTGGATAACCAACGTCCCTAGGGGTGGGGCCTGGGCTGCAGTTGAGGGATTATGAGGTCAGAAGTGGTATGTGTGGCAGAAGGTGGAGTAAGGACAAGGAGAAAAGAACCTTGGTGGGGTCTGTAAAAGATTTGTTGGGAATGGGGGCAACATGGTAAATCTAACTCTAAACTGGACTCAGGAAGGAGTGCAGGACATGTAGAGAAAAATAAGTTTCTGGAACAGTACTCTTTTCTAGTGAATTTGTAGTACAACTGCTTCCACAGCATGAGTCTCCTCCTCCTTTTTCCTACCCTCGGCACCATGCCTCCCATCCTCACAGCACCCCACGTGTTTCCCTTGCTCCCCTACCCCAACAACAGACATTCTTGATGATTATCAGCAGAAACTTTATTTCTCATTGATTCAGGAACAATTGAAGGGTAGATGGAAAGAGGGAGGGAGGGATGGAGGGACAGTGGGAGGAAGAATCCAGCAAAGAGGAAGGCCTGGATTGGGGGAGATGAGAAACACGTACCCAGGGCAAAGGGGCAATTCTCAAGTAGGAGATATTGAATGAGCGGGCAGTTATAGGGGGCACAAAATTCAAAATCAGCCACAGGGGGGTGAGGTGAGGATTGGACCCAGCCTGGTTGGACAAAGGGAAGTTAGGACAATTTAGGGCTACAGGACCCTGGGGTTCTGTCAGGCTATCAGGGCTCAGGTTTCAGGTTTCAGGGTATAACATGGGGGAGCCCAGTAGGGGCTATGCTGGCTGCAGGGGGAGCCCCCAGCCCCCTCCCCCAGAGCCCCTCCTTTTGGGGGAATTTCACTGACGTGGCAGAGCCGTTCACTGTAATCTGGCCGCAGACTCTCCGCCAATCCCTTAGACACACCACTCCAGGCCTAAAGACAGATATCTCCAGGTCAGGGGTCAATTAGGAACAGGAAGTAAAAGACCCAGGCTCTGTGACAAGGCAGCTCTCACAACGTCTGCAACCACTGTGATTACGGAAGGGACGCACAGATTCCTGGGCCCCCAGTACCACTGTTTCCAACTGCCTTAAACCAATCTATAGTCAGTTCTTCTGTGTGTCTCTCTCCATCTAGCCCATCCCCCAATGAGTCGGCCACATCCTGACAGTTAGTGCAGGCCCCCCTCCTCTCCCCTCTGCCCCCATACTCTCTCTGTCTTGCTGGCAGGCAGTTGGCAGTTGACAGACTGCAGTCTGCCTATGACAATGTTCTCACCGAAAAGTTCCCATGGTATTCAGTAACCAGATCCTCTAGGTTCTTGAGGGTAGGAATTCGGGGCATCGTCCTGAGGGGGAAGAAAGAGGGAGCAGGAGCACATCAGTTACGCTCTTTTGTTACCCTTCTCCCAGTGCTCCCATATGGGATGAAGTGATTCTGTGTTCTCTGTGCCTACAGTTTCCTTCCATCACCATGCCCACTCGGGTGACCCCTCATTCCTTACCGTCCCGCCCTCTACTCCTGGAGACCCTGTAATAACTTTCCTCTACTATTCCCAGCCACCCCCGCCTCGTTTTTCTGGGATTCCCAAAATCTCACCGTTCCAGCCAGCAGTACACACAGATGAGGCTAATAATCAATCCCATGGAGCCAATGGGGATAAGCACAGCTTCCAATGCAAACAATGAAGGATTCTCTATAGAAAAGAGACCTAACATTTGTGGTATCCGTGCTACGTGCCCACATTTGTAGAGCCCCAACTTGGTGCCAGGCACTGTGCTAAACACTTTCCATATACTTAATCCTCACAACTCCTGAGAGGGGGTAATAATTCTTATCTCCATTTTACAGATGAGGAAACAGAATCAAAGAGGTTAGCAATGTGCCCAAGGTCAAAGAGGCAGTAAGTAGCAGAGGCAGGTTTAAACTCCAGATTTATCTGGTTCCAAAGCCATCTTCACCATGCATGCTTTCTGGGAGTGCTGCAGGGAAATATTATACATTCTGTATCCCCTCTGAGCACTCCTTGGCCTCCTTCTCAATCCCCCCGCTACTCTAACAACACACTGACCCAACCCTACACAGACAAAGCCTACTTCCTGGGAGTTGGGGTTGAACAGTGAGGGGAGATGGGCCACCAAGTTTGGGGGCTTAGAGATAGGGAGGTAGAGCGAAAGACAATGGTGCTAGAAAGGTTGGGGTGCTGGCCTCATGGGTCGGGGTGATGCATTAGGCCCATTTTACCCTTTGAAGTATTGCTGCCCCAGTGGATCGGGCGGCTCCATTCACTCCAATGCTGAGCGCTTCCACAGAGCGGGTTATAGCGGCTCCGAACGCGGAAGGTGTAGAGTTTCTGTGCATCCACGCTAGGCAGAGAGAAGCTACGTCTGTGGTCCACTGATTGTTCCTTGGGGAGAAAGAGGGTGGGGGAAGATGGGTGTCTATAAAACAAGGGAGAATTAAACCTGCTGCCCGCCCCCATGTCATCTCCGGCTCTTCCCATTCCTCCTCCCTCTCTTGACTACTCAAGCCACCTTGCTCCCTTCACTGACTAGAATTTAGTGATGATAGGGAAGGGAGTTGGAGGGGGCTGGAGGGTGCGCAGAGGAACTGGGAGGCGGAGAACAGGAGCTTGGGATCAGGCCCTCCTATTTGGCTGATTGAATCCTTTATCCCCACTTGCTTGGCCTTAGCTGCTATGTTCATAACCCCAGTCACTCACAGTCCAGCTGCGGTCCCGGTCACTCCGGTACTGCACCAGGTGCTCCAAACAATGGTCCAAGTATCTGTTGCTCCAGCTCAGTTCTAGCTGGGATTCACTCAGGTTGCGAAGTGTTAGATTCTTTGGAGCCCAGGGGATCACTGGAGATATGTGTGCGTGTGTGGTCATTCCCCTGGCCTGGACAAGTCAGGATCCTGAAAGTAGTGCCCCTGATCCCTCCTCCCTTCCCCATTCACATCCCTCACCTCCTCCTTTCTGCCGGAGTACTCTTATGTGAAAGAACACCACTCCATGTACTCTACACCATGTACTCCACACCACAATATCCCTGGACTTTTGACCCCCTTTCCAAATTACCAAGATCCTGCAGTTTTAACATCTGTGTGGCTTGTCTCCTGGGTTCCTGTGGGTCCTGGAGCTGGACAACAAATGTTTGGTAGAGATGGATCTCCTCTTTTCCCAACCAACAGCCAGAAGCGACCTCTTCAGAGAATAAATAGTGGCCACACTCTTGGACTTTGCCATCGTCAGAGTTCTTATACCTAGAGAAGGGGTGGAAGGAAGAGGAACAGGTGGTAAACTTGGGTACTACAGATATCCACAGGCCAGCCTCATCTCCTCTGAACTGACTTATGACTTACCCCCTGAGAAAAGAGTGGGGAGCCAGAGATGTTGGCTACCCTCTTTCTTGGTCCCCATGCGGTCTCTCACATCCAGCCCACCTCCTGCTCCTCCCCTGTGCTAGCCCCTCTTCGCTTCTCATACCAATAGTGCAGAGTCAGGTTGGTGGGCTGGGGCTCAGAGCTGGTGTTCCAAGTGCAATTCATGTACTCGACATTGAACACAAAACACTGAACCTCTGGGAGGGGCCGGGTAGAAACAGTGATCCCAGGGGGTGTAGAGGTCAGGAAGAAATCTAGATTGGGGAGAAAATGAAGTGGGGCAGGGGAAGAGAAGAAATGATGGTCAGAAGAAGAAGCAGCGTAAGGCAGGGAACCCTTCCCCTCGCCCTCCCCACAGTACACTTAAATTCTGCCCGCATCCTTGTAATGCCCAGTGGCAGGTTCCAGATTTCTGTACGGTCCCTTCCCACAACCTCCCTTCTCACCAACCCCCTCCAGTCCCAGGTTTACCACCAGCTGTGATGTCTTCATTCCCATTGGGTGTGAGGACCTTCGGGGTCAGCCCCACCCCCAGCAGAGGCAGCTGCAGGAATAAGAGGGATCTGAGTGGCAATGGTGGCTTCAACATGGCGCTTGCTCTTCGTTCCCTGGGTGTAGACTGTGTCAGGAACATGGGCCCCTCACCCACTACCCCTCCCCACCCACACGTTTCCTTCTGTCATAGCTTCCGGTGGAAAGAACCTTAGAAACCAGGGCTTTACAGAGGGTGTGGCAAATGTGTGCTATGACACAGGCTAAATCCTCTGGGAGATTAGGTGTTAATCTAATCTGTAGGTGTAACACCACCACTGTAAAGTGGTGTTAAGTAGAGACTAAGGCTGAGTATACAATATTGTCACAGATTCAAGAATCCTCAGACCACCTAGATCCTGAGAAGCATCTGTTCACCACCACCACCACCAACATCGTCAACCGCCTTCTCATCTAAATGGTTTTATCCTGTAAAGCGTGGGGTCTGAACCTCTGCACATCCAATGCTATGCTCCTTCCTTGGCTCAGTGACCCTGAAGCCTCTGTCAAAACTCTACAGTCTTGGCTCCTGTGGGCACAAATATAGCTGTCTTTCCTCTGACCTAATCCAAGCCAGAATATCCATCCTTAGCTGCTGCCCCCCCAGCTGGGTCCCTGTTGAGACTGGTGAGGAGGTCTGACTTAGAAGTAGATTCTGGAAATGGAGGAAAACAATACTAGCTTCAAACGCTTCGTCTTCCCCTAAATCTGCTTCTGTTCCTGTGTTCCCTACCTCAGTTAATGGTATCATCACCCTCTCAGTCCCCCAGACTTGAAACCTCAAAGTCATCTTCAATTCCTCCCTCTCTCTCACCCTGAGAGTCCAATCAGCCCTACATATGTGGTGTTTTCTCCCAGCAGTGTCCTCCTTTCCATGACCACAGCCACTGTGCTAAATCAGCCTTTCATTCCCTCTAGTCATGACTATTACTAGAACCCACTAACTGGCCTCCCTTTCTAAAGGCCCCCTGCTCTCTAATCCATTCTTCATTCTGTTGCCAGATTTGTCTTCCCCCAAACACAGAGCTGATTGGAGACACTATTGGAGACACAAATTACAGAAATTGTATATTCAGAAAACATTTATTGAGTCTTTAATATGTGCCAAGCACTGTGCTTATGTTCTAACTCACTCTAATTTTCTGCAGGTTAAAATTCCTCAGAGTTAGTTCAAATGTTACTTCCTCCAATATGTTTTCCCCTCCCCAATCAGAATTAATTTGTCTTCCCATTGTGATTCAATAGCATTTTGTTATAACTTTTCTTTGTTATTTGCTAGTTTTATTATTTTTTATTTATTGTTGTTACTTTTATTATAGCACTCTGTCTTTTCTCTAAAAGGCAATACCATCATAAAAGGAACAGCAGCTCAAGAGTCAAGAAAAAAATCCTAGTCTCAGCTGTGTTACTCAGTAGCTGTCTATTATCAGGCAAGTGAACTTCCACTCTGAAAATCAGCTTCCTCATCTACAAAATGGAGACAATAATAATCCCTAACTCATGGGGCTGTTTGCAGATTAAAGGAGATAATGTCTGAAAAAGCATCTGACACTTAGTAGGTGCCTCTTTCGCTAGAGCAACGGTTCTTAACCGGGAGTTCACGGACACTTAGGGGATATATCGATGAGCTTCAGGGAGTTTAAGAATTCCCTGGCTGGTATCTAACATTTTGTATGTCTCTGTGAGCATTTTTGTGGGAAGAAGGGCCATAGCTTCCATCAGCATCTTAGAGGGGTTGTGAATCAAAAATGCTTAAGAACCTCAGTGCTAGACCTTAAAGACCTTGAGGGATTAGAACTGGCCTTTTAGGGGTTAATAGGTGCTTTCTTATGCATACATAGTCTCTAATCTTCACAACAGTCCTTTGAAGGAAGTATTAGTATACCCATTTTTCAGATGCGGAAACTAAGAAATGAAATGGTTTGTAAAGGGCACCTATTCGAGGCCAAGAACTGAGCGAGGCGCCGGCAACCCCAGCACCAGTCAGAGCTCAGCACGGCGGCAGCCTCCCGCCTTGCAGGGCAGTATCCCCAGCGCAGTGAAGCGGCTCGCAGCCGTTTCATAGATATCCGCTGAGCGACACCGATCTCCGGCCGCCGGCCCGAAGAGCTCCCGGGCGCGGAGCTCCGCCCCACGCCGGGCCGGGCCCCGCCCCCGCTGCGGTCGGTGTTGTCCGACGGTTCCCGGCGTCCCTCGGTTTCCCTCGGTAGTTTCCGGCAATGATCGAGAGTTTCTAACGTGCCCCCTTGTTGTCTCTCGGCTGCCGTCCTCGCCACCGCCGCCCCCCTTTTCGGCTCCCTCTCCCCCTCCCCTTCCCCCCTCCGCCGGGCCCGGCAGGCGCCTCTGGTGCTAAGGGCTGGGCAAGATGGCGGCCTTCGGGATCTTGAGCTACGAACACCGGCCCCTGAAGCGGCCGCGGCTGGGGCCTCCCGATGTGTACCCTCAAGATCCCAAACAGAAGGAGGTGCGTTCAGAAATCGGGCCTCTTGAGGGGCCATGGGCAAGCGATCAGCCTAGGAGGAAGCACTGACGGTTTGGGGAAGGGGGGGCGGGGCGGTTTGGTGGGAGCGAAAGTCCCGAAAGGGGGAAGAGTAAAGTGGGCTGGTGTTAGGAGAGTAGGACCTGGCGGGGGGGTCCCGGGCGTGAATAGGGAGTGCTGAAGGGGCCACGCTGGAGGCGCCACCCGCTAACACAACACCTCAGAAAGTTGTCTGAGGCAGCTTGGTGAGCTACGGCTGCTTGCAGGGAAGAGTAATGTTGAGTGAGCTCTGGGTGATTGGGAATCTTAGTGACTGGGGGGTGAGGGTGGTGTCCGAGTGAATGTAAGGGCCTAGCTTTAAATAGCAATCTGTTCTACTCAGAATCCTCCTCCTACCTTTTTTTTCTCCTTGTTCCCTTCTCTTCTTCTGCCCTCCTCTGCCACCACCACCACCTCTGAGAAAAAAAAAGCTGAAATGTCGTTTTCCTGCCTCAGGATGAACTGACAGCCTTGAATGTAAAACAAGGTTTCAATAATCAGCCTGCTGTCTCTGGGGATGAACACGGCAGTGCCAAGAACGTCAACTTCAATCCTGCCAAGGTGAGACCAACCCTGCCAGGCTGAAGGAAAAGGCTGGAAGAATCTGAGAAGGAGCAAAGGCCTGGGTTGGGAAGACTTAAAGGGATGACCTAAATGGCTGAGTTTTCCTTCATAACCTAATGCTACCAGATTGGCATTTGCCCATCAAAGGCACGACCACCTGTCTGCCCCTTCTTCCCACCCTGAGGTGTAGTTTTCTTCCCTCAGATCAGTTCCAACTTCAGCAGCATTATTGCGGAGAAGTTACGTTGTAACACTCTCCCTGACACTGGTCGCAGGAAGCCCCAAGTGAACCAGAAGGACAACTTCTGGCTGGTGACTGCTCGATCCCAGAGTGCCATTAACACCTGGTTCACTGACCTGGCTGGCACCAAGCCACTCACACAACTAGCCAAAAAGGTGAGGTACTGTTTCCTGTTCTTCAGGCCAAGGAGGGGAGTGTGGGTACCAAGTACCCTCCTATTCCCAGATTAAGGTACATGGATGCCAGCTTGTGGGGGTAATAGAGGTCTCACTGTTTGTGATGTCCATGCAGGTCCCCATTTTCAGTAAGAAGGAAGAAGTATTTGGGTACTTAGCCAAATACACAGTGCCCGTGATGCGGGCTGCCTGGCTCATTAAGATGACCTGTGCCTACTATGCAGCAATCACTGAGACCAAGGTTAAGAAGAGACATGTCATTGACCCCTTCATGGGTGAGTAACTCCTAATACCAGGAGTCCCACCACTGATCGCTTCAAGGAATAATAGAGAGACCCTTGGAATTATTCTCCTTCCTCATGTATATTCCTTACTTCTGCTTGTATCTTGCATTCACTCAATTAGTAAACATTGAGTACCTTGAGTATCTACTGGGGTATACTCTAGTAGGGATGCTAAGGCATATGTATGAATCACATAATTAAGTATAGAAAGTAGTAAGCGTCAAAAGAGGTAGCAGAAGGGGCCGGCCTGGTGGCACAAGCGGTTAAGTGCGCGCGCTCAGCTGCGGCGGCCCGGGGTTCGGCGGTGGCCCGGGGTTCGCCGGTTCGGATCCCAGGCATGCACCGACGCACCGCTTGGCAAGCCATGCTGTGGCGGCGTCCCATATAAAGTGGAGGAAGATGGGCACGGAGGTTAGCCCAGGGCCAGTCTTCCTCAGCAAAAAAAGAGGAGGATTGGCAGATGTTAGCACAGGGCTGATCTTCCTCACACACAAAAAAAGAAGTAGCAGAGGTTCTTTGAGACTTCAGTGGACAGAAAGATTACTTTCTTTGGGGGACACCTGGGAAGGCATTAGGAAGGTGGCATTTGACCAGAGCTTAAGAGGATGAATAGGATTTAGAAGTATGGTGGATGGGGGTGGGGGACAGAAGGTTTTCTAAGCAGAGAGATAGTATAAAATAGCCCTTTTCCCATCTTCACCCTAGAGTGGACTCAGATCATCACCAAGTACTTATGGGAGCAGCTGCAAAAGATGGCTGAATACTACCGGCCAGGGCCTGCAGGAAGTGCAGGTTGTGGTTCCACTATAGGGCCCTTGCCCCATGATGTAGAGGTGGCAATCCGGCAGTGGGACTACAACGAGAAGCTGGCCATGTTCATGTTTCAGGTAGGAAGTAGGGCATGTTGTGTGGGACGTTGGATTGAGCCTGGTCTCGCACTCTGTCAGTGTAGAACAGAATCTGCCTGCTACCTTGCCCCGATTGTGGTTCTCTTCATCCTTTCGTTTACTTTGTCTGCCTCATCTCTGGTAGTCCCTGGGCTAAACTAATACTCTTCCCACCCCTGGTACCCATAGGATGGAATGTTGGACAGACATGAGTTCCTGACCTGGGTACTTGAGTGTTTTGAGAAAATCCGCCCTGGAGAGGATGAATTGCTTAAACTGTTGCTGCCCCTGCTGCTTCGAGTAAGGCCTAGGGTTTGGGGGGTCTAGGGAGGATTTGAGGAGAAATAAGACATGAGAGCAGTGTCCCTTGGAGAGAACTGGGGGTTTTGATCATCATGTCTTCACAGTACTCTGGGGAATTTGTTCAGTCCGCATACCTCTCCCGCCGCCTTGCCTACTTCTGTACCCGGAGACTGGCCCTGCAACTGGATGGCATGAGCAGTCACTCGTCTCATGTGATGTCTGCTCAGTCGACAAGCACACTGCCCACCACCCCTGCTCCTCAGCCCCCCACTAGCAGCACACCCTCTACACCCTTTAGTGACCTACTTATGTGCCCTCAGCACCGGCCCCTGGTTTTTGGCCTCAGTTGTATCCTTCAGGTAGGTACTGGGTAGGCCCAAGGAAGAATTAAGAGGCATCCCGAGAAGAGTTGGGTGCCTGTCCTGGAGAATGGTGGTGATTCTAAATTGGAAGTGGGAGTAGGCACTGAGTACTTGCTTGGAGATTGTTGCTTCTCATTCCTAGGGTGTTAGTTCCTTTTCAGTTAGTTAGTTCCCTTCCAGGGCTAAATAGTAGGCCCAAAGCCTTTGAGGAGAGTGGATGAAGGTGGGGGCTCGGAGATGGAGTGATGCCACCCCAGGGACTCAGAATAACTTTGGATTGGAAATCTAAGGATTGGGTCATATAACGGGATTCTAGAGAGATAACCATGGTAATTGAGTTTGACTAAGCTGTTCCTGTCTGGCAGACCATCCTCCTGTGTTGTCCTAGTGCCCTGGTTTGGCACTACTCGCTGACTGATAGCCGAATTAAGACTGGCTCACCACTTGACCACCTACCTATTGCCCCCTCCAACCTGCCCATGCCAGAGGGCAACAGTGCCTTCACTCAGCAGGTAAGTCTGACCAATAGCCTGGTACCCCCAGAGTGGGATGTGGGGCTAAATTACTCTTTCAGAAATAGTGACTTGGAGTCTGGTACCATTCTTTTAGATTGGGGCCTGGCCTTTTTTATGCCTTGGTGCATCCTTGTAAGCCTTCCTTTTCGATGTTACAGGTCCGTGCAAAGTTGCGGGAGATTGAGCTGCAGATCAAGGAGCGAGGACAGGCAGTTGAGGTTCGCTGGTCTTTTGATAAGTGCCAGGAAGCTACTGCAGGTGGGTGCCAGAGGACAGATAGTAAGAAGGATGTTTGAGAAAAGGATGGGGATGGTAAGGACATACAGATCTGAGAGTCAGAATGCAGTGGGCCTCTAGTTAAGTCCCGTTTACCACTTTTCCTCCTTAGGCTTCACCATTGGGCGGGTGCTCCATACTTTGGAAGTGCTGGACAGCCATAGTTTTGAGCGCTCTGACTTCAGCAACTCTCTTGACTCCCTGTGTAACCGAATCTTTGGATTGGGGCCTAGCAAGGATGGGCACGAGGTAAGCAAGAAGGGGAACAGAAGGAGCAAAAAACACTGCAAGGGTAACAGCATGTATGAGGGGAAGGCACAGTGAGGCATTGAAACCAGGGGATGTCTGAAGAGACGATCTTACAGGGCCTAGGACGTTTTAAGATGGGCTCCAGTCTTTAAGAAACTGGAACTTGGTTGTTTGTCCCCAGCCCTACCTCACTCACCCCTGTCTTCCTTTGGTCTCCAGATCTCCTCAGATGATGATGCTGTGGTATCATTACTGTGTGAATGGGCTGTCAGCTGCAAGCGTTCTGGTCGGCATCGTGCTATGGTGGTAGCCAAGCTGCTGGAGAAGAGACAGGCAGAGATTGAGGCTGAGGTTAGGGGGCAGAGATAAGAGAATGCGACTGGCCAGTGGGGCAGTGGCAACTGGGGTTGGAGACAGATTGAACTGGTAGTAGGACCAAAGTGGAAGTTGTGAGAATAAAGAGGTGGTAGAGAACCTAAAGGGAAAGTTGAGAACATAAGACAAAAGTAGAAAGGAGCGGATTGACGTCAGAGTTAGAGAAGCGATCAAGGCTTAAATTGGGAGGCGGTAAAGAAAATAGAGGTCATAGGGGGAGTGGAAGTGAAAAGCTTGGGGCGGAGGCAAAACAGGTGGTAGTTCAAGGATTACACATGAAGGAGTAAAGAACGAGGTAAAATCCAGTCCTACAGTTGCTTCTCTTATCTTGCAGCGTTGTGGAGAATCGGAAGCCGCAGATGAGAAGGGTTCCATCGCCTCTGGCTCCCTTTCTGCTCCTAGTGCTCCCATTTTCCAGGATGTTCTCCTACAGTTTCTGGATACACAGGCTCCCATGCTGAGTATGGACCCCTGCCACCCTATGGTTACCTCTGCCTAGACTCAGTTACCCATTACTGTCATCAGAAAGCATAATTAAGGGCCTTCTGGTATATATTTCTGTCTTGGGTCCTATGCAGAATGACTTTTGGACTTAATTCTAGTCTTTGATCATCTTAACAGTCTAACAGAGTAGTGAAATAAAAAGAAGAATACAAACAAGAACATACGATTGAAGCATTTTCACATATAAATAGCAGCAAAGATGCCATATTCCTTTATGAGATGGTGTATGGGGCAGGAGGTGGGGTAACCAACCACGCTTTGTCCCTCAACAGTTTTGGGGTGTTTTTTTCTTTTTTTTTTTTTGGTCGTTCTATTCTTGCCTACCTCAGGTGCTCTAGGAGCACCATGCCTTAGGTGTGTCCCCCTCTCTCTTTCTGCCCGTCTCTTTTGTGCTCTCCTAACTCATCTTTTCTCATTCCCTCCCTCCAGCGGACCCCCGAAGTGAGAGTGAGCGGGTGGAGTTCTTTAACTTGGTACTGCTGTTCTGTGAACTGATTCGACATGATGTTTTCTCCCACAACATGTATACTTGCACCCTCATCTCCCGAGGGGACCTTGCCTTTGGAGCCCCTGGCCCCCGGCCTCCCTCTCCCTTTGATGACCCTGCCGATGACCCAGAACGCAAGGAGGCTGAGGGCAGCAGCAGTAGCAAGCTGGAGGTGAGTGGGCTTTTCCTCACCCTGGATAGTTTCTTCTGACGTTCCCATCTTCCTGGCTCCTAGAGTCCTCTGAGAATACTTCACCTAATAATGAGGGTAATATTTGCTTAATACTTCACAGGTTATAAAGTGCTCCCATATCAGTTTTTTTCATTTGATCCTCACAACAGCCCTGTGAGGTACTCTTATCCCCACTTTAAAGCTGAAGAAAACTGAGGCCAATGGAGGTTAAGTGACCGGTCAAGGCTTGAATCCAGATCCGGTGCTTTTCCCAATGTGATCTCCTCTCCAGTTCCCCTGTCAATCAACTTTTCTAGATGGTGGGGAGCAGCTCCTTGGGGCTAAAGCAGCTTTGCTTATGTTCTGTGCCCTCAGGATCCAGGCCTCTCAGAGTCTATGGACATCGACCCTAGTTCCAGTGTACTGTTTGAGGACATGGAGAAGCCTGATTTCTCAGTAAGTTAGGTTCTGGTATGGAAGAATCCAGCTCCTGTTATGCTTCTTTTGGGGATTTCTTTATGCCTCCTCATCCCTTTTTCTTCCTTTAAATGTTCTGCTCTTTCGCCTTTCTCTTAGTTGTTCTCTCCTACTATGGTCTGTGAGGGGAAGGGCAGTCCATCTCCTGAGAAACCAGATGTTGAGAAGGAGGTGAAGCCCCAACCCAAGGAGAAGATAGAAGGGACCCTTGGGGTTCTTTATGACCAGCCGCGGCATGTGCAGTATGCCACACACTTTCCCATCCCCCAGGTACTGTTCCCCAGCACCTTGCGAGCATCTGTTTTGAGCCCAGGTTTCTGTCCAAGGACCATGCCGAGGGGTTGGAGCTGTTCTTGAGGGTGTGGTATGCTGGGAAGGAGCTTTAGCCCTGGGATGCTGAGGGGCATGGAGCATGCTTTTAAGAGGAGGGAAGGAGATCGGTGCTGGAGTCTGATGGTGCTGCTGGGATGCAGGAGGAGTCATGCAGCCATGAGTGCAACCAGCGGTTGGTCGTACTGTTTGGGGTGGGAAAGCAGCGAGATGATGCCCGACATGCCATCAAGAAAATTACCAAGGATATCCTGAAGGTTCTGAACCGCAAGGGGACCGCAGAAACTGGTGGGTTTGAGGCTCCTTAAACAGATCTCCCCCAAAGAGTGCCCTAGTCAGTCTTCCCTTCCCCAGCATAGGGAACTCCCAGTCATGTCCCAATGTCCTGTCTCTTGGAGTCTCCTGAGAGCTCTAGTCCTTTTGAAACTTCCCCCCTCATTCCCCCCTTCTGCAGACCAGCTTGCTCCTATTGTGCCTCTGAATCCTGGAGACCTGACATTCTTAGGTATCTCACAGTAAGCCCCATACTGCCCGCCCTCCCTCTCCCTTCCCTCCCTCAACCTAGCACCTCCCTGTACATATTCCTATAAGGTCCACATAGTCTGTGGTCCTCAAAACCTTTGCTTCACTCTTCACCCATCCCTTCCTTGACCCTCCCTTCCCTTCTGCCTTCCTCCTTCCTACCCTCTCTCCCTCCCTCCCTCCCCGCTTCCCTCTCTCCCTCCCATAGCCTTCTCTGCATACCCACTCCTCCCCACCCCCAGTCAACTAGTTATCTTCCTTGTCCTGACTGGTCCCTTTCAACTGTCCCCTCAGGTGGGGAGGATGGGCAGAAGCGGCGGCGCAACCGGCCTGAAGCCTTCCCCACTGCTGAAGATATCTTTGCTAAGTTCCAGCACCTTTCACATTATGACCAACACCAGGTCACTGCTCAGGTGTGGGCCTAAGTCCAGCCCCCTTCCCACATGCTGGCCTCCTGTCCTGTTTTGCTTTCCTCCTTATCTTTTTTCCCCCCAGGCAGGCTAAGCCTCCCAGTCTCATCCCCTTCCACCATCATCCTTTCCTGCTTTCCTGGTTCTTCCCACCTCTCTGCACTCCTGTCTCACTCCCACTGCACTTATCAGGTCTCCCGGAATGTTCTGGAGCAGATCACGAGCTTTGCCCTTGGCATGTCGTACCACTTGCCCCTGGTGCAGCATGTGCAGTTCATCTTCGACCTCATGGAATATTCACTCAGCATCAGTGGCCTCATCGACTTTGCCATTCAGGTGGGGAAGTTGGGGAGATAAGGGTGGAGGAAGGAGTTTGTGCTCTATAGGGTCATAAGGACAGGAGTAGAAGCTCAAGCTAGTGTCCCAGGCTATTTGGAGGGGCACAAAGACTAGCACCGGGGGAGTGGAACATGAGCTAAGACGGCAGGAATAGAGACTCAAGTGCTCCCTGGGGAGGCCCAAGAGAAGGATTAGAGTATTGGGCACAGAGTGTCCTCCCCGGGTGGAGTTCATAGGATTGTATCTTGGAGACTGGTTAGATAGCTGATGTGGCTTGTGTTGTTAATAGAATAGAGGACAGTAGCATATGGCAACAGGGCCCTTCTATACTGAGGCGACTCCAGCAGAAGGGGCTTAGACTTGGCTTTGCTAGTTTCCTCACAGGAAGGGGGATTATGTATAACATGTCTCTTCTCATTTCTCACCCGCCACTCTCTCTGCTAGCTACTGAACGAACTGAGTGTAGTTGAGGCTGAGTTGCTTCTCAAATCCTCGGATCTGGTGGGCAGCTACACTACCAGCCTGTGCCTGTGCATCGTGGCCGTCCTGCGGCACTATCATGCCTGCCTCATCCTCAACCAGGACCAGATGGCACAGGTCTTTGAGGGGTAAGCAGGGCTGCAAGATAACCGCAAGGAGCAGGGCTCTGGAGAACGATGCGGCCTGCGGTGAACACGTGAAGCTCTCACTGGGAAAGTGCATTCCATTCAGGTGGGGAGGGGAGAGTACGGCCCAGAGACTTGAATCCGTGTCCGGGCCCTTTGTGCCCCAGCCCCTGCTCACCATTTGCTGACCCTCCTGACCTTGCTGCCTCGTGACAGGCTGTGTGGCGTAGTGAAGCATGGGATGAACCGGTCAGATGGCTCCTCTGCAGAACGCTGTATCCTTGCTTATCTCTATGACCTGTACACCTCCTGTAGCCATTTAAAGAGCAAATTTGGGGAGCTCTTCAGGTAAGAGAGGTGAGAGGTAAGGGGTAGAGAGTGGGACCTAGTCCCACCTCCTTCCCATTACTGCCCGACTCAGGAGCAGAGCACAGCCCGGGACCCTGCTGTCTCTGCAGGGTCATTTGGGGACTACGTCCTCCATGTGTTCTTGGTTCCTGAGAATGGGCCTTCTTCCTCGTCAGCCTTTCCTTCAGCTCATCTCTGTGGGGTCCGCACTTCCTCCCTGCCTCCAGAGGGCCCTGCGCCTTATTCTCACTGGGTTCCTTTCCTGCCCAGTCTGCTTTGTCCCATCTCCCTTTTTCTGGTCCCAAGGTCCCTGGTCCCTCGTTTTTTTCTTTTCTCCCCTTTCCTGACCATCCCTCTACCTCACCAGACCTTCTTCAACACTACTGTCTTCCTTCCCCCACCCCTGCAGCGACTTCTGCTCCAAGGTGAAGAACACCATCTACTGCAATGTGGAGCCATCAGAATCCAATATGCGCTGGGCACCTGAGTTCATGATTGACACTCTGGAGAACCCTGCAGCTCACACCTTCACCTACACGGGGCTAGGCAAGAGTCTTAGTGAGAACCCCGCTAACCGCTACAGCTTTGTCTGCAATGCCCTTATGCACGTCTGTGTGGGGCACCATGATCCCGATAGGTATGGGGCATACTGAGTGAGGACTGGGCACCACGCTCCTGCCTAATATTGGGAGGGATGAGATGCCCGGGAGGTACCGCGACCTTGGTTATTGCCGGGTGGAGATGAAAAGTTAATGAGTCTGAGGTTTTGTGGAACAAGGTTTTTCCTGAGGGCATTTGTACTTTTCCCCAGGGTGAATGACATCGCAATCCTGTGTGCAGAGCTGACTGGCTATTGCAAGTCACTGAGTGCGGAATGGCTTGGAGTCCTTAAGGCCTTGTGCTGCTCCTCTAACAACGGCACTTGTGGTTTCAACGACCTCCTCTGCAATGTAGATGTGAGACTTGGGGTGGGGTCCCACTGGGACAGGAGGCAGTTACCAGGGCAGGGGTCTAGTCCCAGTACTCAAGGTAATAGAGAGACAGAGTTTTGGGAAGTGGAGGCATACCGCTTTGAGTAAGTGCCGTCTCTCCCCACAGAGTTGTGACGTCTGTCTGCTTTTTCCTCCAGGTCAGTGACCTGTCTTTTCATGATTCCCTGGCTACTTTTGTTGCCATCCTCATCGCTCGGCAGTGTTTGCTCCTAGAGGATCTGATTCGCTGTGCTGCCATCCCTTCACTCCTTAATGCTGGTGAACTACCAATCCGTAACCCATAGAATTTCTGGACCCCAAGTTTCAATATACACATGATGGCTGCACTCCCATTGTTCAGTGTGGGATGCCTGGCCTCACCAGAGGCCAGTCCTGTGGTATGCCTCAGGCTGGGAGGGGCCTCTTTCTCATCCTGCATTTGTAGCTTGATCTTTCTGGTGTTTGACCCCTCTGAGGTACTCCCTTTATGTTGCAAAACAGTTCCCTGCTCCACCTCTCCTCCAGCATTATCTTGTTTTTTCTCCTTTCACCTGACCTGTCTCCCCTTTTAGCCACCCACCACCCACAAACCCACACACAGTCCACCTTCATCCTTTCTGATCTGCTTTGTCTTCCTTCTTTTAGCTTGCAGTGAGCAGGACTCTGAGCCCGGGGCCCGACTTACCTGCCGCATCCTCCTCCACCTTTTCAAGACACCTCAACTCAATCCTTGCCAGTCGGATGGAAGTAAGTGACTCTGATCTGAGCCAGCCGGCAGTAGAAAGTGTGGCTACCCCACCCCCACCGTTTCTACTTTTGCTTCCCCTGACTTCGGCTCCCTCCCCAGACAAACCTACTGTAGGAATCCGCTCCTCCTGTGACCGCCACCTGCTGGCTGCCTCCCAGAACCGCATCGTGGATGGAGCTGTGTTTGCTGTTCTCAAGGCTGTGTTTGTACTTGGTATGGGGTAGGAAGGGAGTGGTGCCAGAAGTGTGTATAGGGTGGAGTGCCAGCTAAACTACAAAGGACAGTCTTTCTCTCTCCTGAAGGTGGTCTCTCTGACCTTTGGGGAGGAGAGGAGGAGGGAAGTATATTTCTGTCCCATAGGGCTGGATTTGGGGAGTTGCTGCGTCTGTGGGTCCGGGCTGGGTCTCTACACAGTGTTCGGATCTCACTCTGCCCTCCCTATCTCCCACCCGTGAACCACAGGGGATGCGGAACTGAAAGGTTCAGGCTTCACTGTGACAGGAGGAACAGAAGAACTTCCAGAGGAGGAGGGAGGAGGTGGCAGTGGCGGTCGGAGGCAGGGTGGCCGCAACATCTCTGTGGAGACAGCCAGTCTGGATGTCTATGCCAAGTACGTGCTGCGCAGCATCTGCCAACAGGTCAGTCTCACCTTCCCCCTACACCTCCTAAATGCCTCTATATAATATAGTCCTGTTTCCAGCGATGATCACGCCACCTCCCTACTATACATTGTGTCCCTCACCAACTCCCAGCCCACTCCCCTTATTCCTAACCCCCTCAGTGGTTGCCCCAGTCCCCTGATTATCAGCTTCCTCAGGAATGGGTAGGAGAGCGTTGCCTTAAATCGCTGTGTGAGGACAGCAATGACCTACAGGACCCAGTGTTGAGTAGTGCCCAGGCCCAGCGCCTCATGCAGCTCATCTGCTACCCACATCGACTACTGGACAATGAGGATGGGGAAAACCCCCAGCGGCAACGCATTAAGCGTATTCTCCAGGTAGGCCAAGGTGATGAGGGTCTTGGAGGAAGCAATAGGGCCCAAGCCTGGGGTGAAACAATAGGAACCTTGAGAGAAAAAGAGAGGGAGAGTTAAGCAGGAAGATGAACAAGGATGTGGGCGAAAGGTAATGAGAGAAACAGCTCCAGCGTGGGTTCAGAAGTCAAGCCCATATGGTTTAGGCTGTAAAGTAAACTGGTGGGTGAGGGCACAGCTCTCCAGAGTAGGACTGTCCTTTGTCAGTGAGAGGCATAGTCTCTGGGAGGCCTAGTTTTTGGCCTTGTATCTTTGGCATTTTGGTCATGGCTCAGTAATGGACGGTCATACTACTGAACAGCTGCTACTCATTGAGTGTCTGCTTCATGCCAGGTACTGGTACTGTGCTCAGCACTCTGTGTATATTTTCTCATTTAATCTTTACAACCCTGTGAAGTAGGTATGAGTATCTCTGTTTGACCAGTGAGGAAACTGAGGCTTGACGAGGTTAAGTAACTTGCCCAAAGTCACACAACTAGTAAGTTTGGAGTCGGTATGTGAACCCAGGTATCCTGTGCCCTTTTAGCTTCGCCACGCTGCTGCATCAGACATTCAGGTGACTGGAGAGTGGAAAAATAAAGCCACTGAGGAAAAGCTAATGGAATGAGGTCTCTTCAGCCCAGAGTTGATAATGCCGAAGAGAGATTAGCTAACAGTAGCCTTCGGGTCTGTAAAGGACTCTGAGCAGCTGGTTTAAAATGGGAGAAGCAGGCTTTAACTTTAACATCAAGGATTTAGGTTAGCGTTAAGCAGAACTTCCTGATGCTAAGGAATGTGAGGCTCTGGAACAGGAAACTGGGGAAAGATGTGAAATCTTTCCTGAACTGCTTTTAAAATAGGATAGATTTTTCAGCCATTTTGGATTATTTAGGTGTAGTTTTTCCTAAAGTTGGGGACATAGAGAGGTCCCTCTTAGATCTCCAGGCATGTGTGAGTCAAGGTTGCGAGATATCAGGAACTGGCCTCGGGGTGATGAGTGGCTGGGGATGACACAAAGATGACCAGCTTGGGGGTGGGGTCTCTGTCACAGAACTTGGACCAGTGGACCATGCGCCAGTCTTCCTTGGAGCTGCAGCTCATGATCAAGCAGACCCCTAGCAATGTGAGTGGTGCCCGGGCTCTCTCTTTCCTGTGCTCACTTCCAGCTCCGTGTGTCAGGGAGGTGGGCTACCATAGAAGAACCAAGGTCCTACTCTTGGGTTCTTGAGCTAAGAGAGATAAGAGAGGATAGGAAGATGGCAAACATGTGGAGCTGATGATAAGGGAAATGGGTTGAGAGTGTTGGTGCTTTGAGCTATGGGGAAGGTGGTTGTTGGTGGTGGTGGTGGTGGTGGAGGCTGTTTCTGTGGCCACAACTGTAAGGAGGTATGTAAAGGAGAAGACAGTGGGGAATTGGAGAAATATGGAGGTGCTGGAGGGCACGACTCCCAGCAGAGTTGTGTCCCTACCCTCCCGTCAACCTCCACAGATGCCTTCCACCACCCTCATCTCCCATCCCTCCTACCATCTGTTTTCCTTCGCTCCCAGCTACCTGTTTAGCACCCCTGTGCCTTTCGTCCTCCCCAGGAGATGAACTCCCTCTTAGAGAACATTGCCAAGGCCACAATCGAAGTGTTCCAACAGTCAGCGGAGACAGGGTCATCTTCTGGAAACACTGCAAGCAACATGCCCAGCAGCAGCAAGACCAAGCCTGTGCTCAGGTTGGGTAGAAACGTGTTAGGACCCACCCCCTTATGAGTTTGTGTCCTGGTAGTGTAAATGATTTCAGCCGCATGAAGATGCCAGGCATGTCCATCAGGAAAGGAGAAGACCTGATGCCAACCTTTGCCTGGCTCCTCTGTGACGCTGTGTACTCCGTCTGTCCTCTAGCTCTCTAGAGCGCTCTGGTGTATGGCTGGTGGCCCCCCTCATTGCTAAACTGCCCACCTCAGTCCAGGGGCATGTGTTAAAGGCTGCAGGGGAGGAATTGGAGAAGGGCCAGCACCTGGGTTCCTCTTCCCGCAAAGAACGTGATCGACAAAAGCAGAAGAGGTAAAGCGGCTTTGGGGGACCCAAGATTGAGGGGTAGAAAGGAGAGGAGGCAGGCCCAGGGAGGAAGAAAGAATGGGGCGGGGGGGGGAGATAAAAATCATAGAAAAGTGGAAAATGAGAGGGTAAGTGTGGGTGTGGTTGAACAACTGGCTAGATCTTAAGAGAGTAGAGTCAGGGGCGTGGAGGAATCGGATTGGAAGTTGCCTGATCTCCAACCCACAGTCCTGTTCTTTTTATTTTCTTTTCCTCCCTTCTCTAGTATGTCCCTGTTGAGCCAGCAGCCCTTCTTATCCCTGGTGCTGACGTGTCTGAAAGGGCAGGATGAGCAGCGTGAAGGACTCCTTACCTCCCTCTACAGCCAAGTGCACCAGGTACAGGTCTCTGGGCCATGGAGCCAGGCAGGAGGGCAGAGAAGGATGCACCTAAGAGGCTACTGTGTACTCAGAACCGTCAGTACTTTCTGATGAATACTTTGGGTCCTTTGGGATGGAAACAAGAAGATCCCTGAGCTGTCTGTTATACTTGTTTCTATCTATCTTAGATTGTGAATAATTGGCGAGATGACCAGTACTTAGATGATTGCAAACCAAAGCAGCTAATGCATGAGGCACTCAAACTGCGGCTCAACCTGGTGAGAGGGGGAGCTGGAGAGAAGAAGGAAGTGGGTGGGGCTAGAACTACAGAGCAAAGAAGCCCCAGCTGGGGGAGGGCAGGGTTGAAGATGGAGGGCCTAGGTTCTTCTGGGTCTTCGAGTAATAACCCAGCTCTCCTAAAGGATGCAGGACCTAAAAGTGGTTAAGGGGACTGGATCCTTGCAGGCACCCTGCCTCAGTATCCTAGATTCTGGCTGGGCCCTAGAAGCCCTAGAAACCCATTGTGGAATGTTGAATGGAATCTTGGACATCCGTTAGTCCAACTCCTATCATTTTATAAGTAAGGAAACTGAGGCCCAGAGATGTCAAGAATTAAGTCGTTGGCCTGAGATCTTGTAGCAAATCATAGGTACAACTGGAATATGACCTCAGGTGTTCCTAAGTTGCACCAAACTCAGGTTCGCATCTAAGCTTTCCCAAAATGCCAAACTTGGCCCCTGAGCCATCTGACTGACTTGTTGTGGCCCTGGCAGGTGGGGGGCATGTTTGACACGGTGCAGCGCAGCACCCAGCAGACCACAGAGTGGGCTGTGCTCCTCTTGGAGATCATCATCAGCGGCACTGTCGACATGCAGTCCAACAAGTAAAGCATCCCCGCCCCCTCCCTTCAGTTTTGTACCCAAGGGATCCCCCTTCCCCCACACCAGGTGCACGACCCGCTGTGATTGGTGTGGCTGACACTGCGGACTCCGAGGTCCTGGGTTCCCCACATGGTTTTGGTGCCCTTGGGATAATGTCTTAAGTGCCGTTCCCTGCTTGTGTCCCACCTTGAGGCCTTTGTCTGTCTTAACTTCTTTCTTCTCCAATTTTCTCCCTGGCTTCCTGTCACAGTGAGCTCTTCACCACTGTATTGGACATGCTGAGTGTGCTCATCAATGGGACCCTGGCTGCGGACATGTCCAGCATCTCTCAAGGCAGCATGGAGGAAAACAAACGTGCCTACATGAACCTGGTGAAGAAGCTGCGGGTGAGCGGAAGAGGCAAGGATGAGGCTTGGGGGACTGGGACATAGCTCCCTCTCCCTCAACGTTGCACTTACTGTCCTGCCTCAGGGACTTCGTTCTGGCCAGAGCCCCCTACCCTTCCCCTTTATGTCCATTTTTTCTTTGTTCGTACAGCGAGGATTCACTGAGTGTCTTCATGCCAGGGTCTGTGCTGTCCCCTGAGACTTCCCATCCCTCTTTTTCTGTGTCCTTGAACTCTTGTCCCATCTTCCTGTGCCTGCAGAAAGAGTTGGGGGAACGTCAGTCAGACAGTCTGGAAAAAGTTCGCCAGCTGCTGCCACTGCCCAAGCAGACCCGCGATGTCATCACATGTGAGCCACAGGGCTCCCTTATTGACACCAAGGGCAACAAGATTGCCGGCTTCGATTCCATCTTCAAGAAAGAGGCATGTTCCATTGTCTTCTGGTCCCTGTCCTATCCCCCGCCCCCATCTTTTTCCCCTTTGGGCCAGAGCTTCCCTGCATTAACCTTGTAGCTACAGCAGGCTCCTGGGGCCCTGCCGTGAGAGCCACCTCATGTGAGCTAATCACGTAACTTTCCTTACGTGTCTTCTTCCCATCTTGGGAGTCTAACACTGTTTCCTTGGTCTCTCCCTTCACCCCTACCCACCTCTCACCACCTACCCACCTTTTAACATACCACCCGTTTCTCAGCACCCCACCCTCCTCTATCCTCTGCCCCACCTGCCTCTTGTCCTACTCCACCCCTCCTGTGCCCCACCCTTCTGTCTGGCTGACAGCCCATATCTCTTTTATCCCTGCATTTCTCTCCCCCTACCCACCCATCTCCACACAATTTTCTCTTTCCCCTCTCTCGGTCAGTTGCAGTATTTGTTGAGTAACCATAATCATTGTGTGTAGTCGAGAGGGAGAGGAAAAAGAGGATGCAGAGTTTGAAATCCAAAGTCCAACCCATTCACGTATACATTCTCTTCACTGCTTTTCCTGGCCATCTGTCTCTGTCTTTCCTTCTGAGTGTCCCTGTCTCGCTTGCTGCCTGACTCTCTCACTTTGCCTTTCTCTGTCTCTCTCCACTTTGTCTCTCTCTCTCTGCCTGTCTCTTTCTTCCTGTTTTTCTGTCTCTCTCCCCGTCCCTCTCTCTGCCTGTCTTTAGTCTCTTACTGCCTTTTCTCTCTCTCTCCCCCTCCCTGTTTCTGTCTCTGTCTTCTTCTGAATGTCAGTGTCTGTCTCTGAATCTGCTCCCCCTGCCCATCGCCCTCTCCCCTCTTAACTCTCTCTCCTCCGTGTGAATGTGTGGCTGTTTGTGTGTCCGTGTCCATCTGTCTTCCTCTCACTGTCTCCCCTGAGTCTACCCATGGCTTTTTTCCTTTATTGCCAACAGATATTTTCCCCTCTCCTATAAGTCCCCAAAGTCTGTCTTCTGTTTTCCAAGTCTCAACAGCTCACTGTTTCTCATTTTCTGGAGCAGGGTCTACAGGTTTCCACCAAACAAAAGATCTCTCCCTGGGATCTCTTTGAGGGCCTGAAACCATCAGCACCACTCTCTTGGGGCTGGTTTGGAACCGTCCGGGTTGACCGGCGGGTGGCCCGAGGCGAGGAGCAGCAGCGGTTGCTGCTCTACCACACACACCTCCGGCCCCGGCCCCGCGCCTATTACCTGGAGCCACTGCCACTGCCACCAGAGGATGAGGAGCCCCCTGCTCCCACCCTGCTAGAGCCTGAGAAAAAGGCTCCAGAGCCACCCAAAGCTGACAAGCCTGGGGCTGCTCCACCTAGTACTGAGGAACGCAAGAAGAAGTCCACGAAGGGCAAGAAACGCAGCCAGCCCGCCACCAAGACAGAGGTTGGTGCTGCCCCCGTTATGCTTCTTCCACAGCTTCTCTCTGCCCGTGATTCTGTCCAGTTTCTGGTTTGTGGGAGGGGTGGAGGTATGTGGGGAAGGAGCGCTGTTAGAATTACAAAAATTATGGGGCCGGCCCAGTGGCGTAGTGGTTAGGTTCACACGCTCCTCCTTGGCAGCCCGGGGTTTGTGGGTTCAGATTCTGGGCGTAGACCTACACACCACTCATCAAGCCGTGCTGTGGTGGCATCCCACATACAAAATAGAGGAAGATGGGCGCAGATGTTAGCTCAGGGCCAATCTTCCTCACCAAAAAAAAAAAAAAAGGAATTACAAAAATCAGCCACGTGGATCCAACTCCTTTTCACCCCTCCTATCCCACATCGTCCCACCCTACTCAGCTCACTCACCTCTCTCCTCTGCCGTTCTCACAGGACTATGGAATGGGCCCAGGGCGGAGTGGCCCCTATGGTGTGACAGTGCCTCCAGACCTCCTGCACCACGCTAACCCTGGTTCCATATCCCACCTTAGCTACAGGCAGGGTTCCATAGGCCTGTACACCCAGAACCAGCCACTACCTGCAGGTGAGTGCCAGCCACTAGGAATGAGGGACTTACCTGAACATTTCTCCCACCCGAGGGATGATGCCACTCCTCTGAGGAGCCATGGATGACCAGGACAGAGCAGGGGACAGAGGGATGAGAAGCCTAGAGAGGTCAGCCTGCTCCCCTTTCCAGGTGGGCCTCGTGTGGACCCATACCGTCCTGTGCGGTTACCAATGCAGAAGCTGCCGACCCGACCACCTTACCCTGGAGTGCTGCCCACAACCATGACTGGCGTCATGGGACTGGAACCCTCCTCCTACAAGACCTCTGTGTACCGACAGCAGCAGCCTGCGGTGCCCCAAGGACAGCGCCTTCGCCAACAGCTCCAGGCAAAGATAGTGAGAGGGGCAGTAGGGAGGGCCGTCAGGGAGAGGGGCTTTTGAGGGTCACAGGACTGAGGGGACTCTGGGATCTTCACAAGGACATGCAGAGTGGGAGATACAAGAAACCAGATGGTGGAAAGCATTTCCTGGCTTTGAGTTTGTCTCCTTTTTCCCTTTAGCAGAGTCAGGGGATGTTGGGACAGTCATCTGTCCATCAGATGACTCCCAGCTCTTCCTACGGTTTGCAGACCTCCCAGGTAAGGGCACAAGATGGTGAGACTCAGGGAGCTTGAGGCAAGCTGCTCTGCACACTCTTGGCCCTGACTCCCTCTCTCCTCCCCTCCAGGGCTATACTCCTTATGTTTCTCATGTGGGATTGCAGCAACACACAGGCCCCGCAGGTACCATGGTGCCCCCCAGCTACTCCAGCCAGCCTTATCAGAGCACCCACCCTTCTACCAATCCTACTCTTGTAGATCCTACTCGCCACCTGCAACAGCGGCCCAGTGGCTATGTGCACCAGCAGGCCCCAACCTACGGACATGGGCTGACCGCCAGTCAAAGGTACTCAAGGAAGTGGAGAGCTTCGAAGACATACTGAGATATGAGGGAGCATGTGACTTGGGAAAACCCATGCCTGGAAGTGATGGGACTAGTCAGGTTTTTGGAGAGGTGAAGAACACTTATCTGACCACATAGCCTGTCACCACAAAATGCCAGAGCTGGAAGGATCCTGGCAACCAGTAATCTCACACTTACTTCCCTGACATTTCTTCAAGGCCCAGAGAGGAGAAATCATTTCTCCAACTATGATAAGGAAAAATCTGGGATTCATTGATGCACTGCATGATAGAGTCACCAAGCCGTTAGGAGAAGAGTTTCACACTGGAATAGACTAATGAACAATGCTTCCACCATGCTGCATGTTAGTCAGGCCTCAGATAAGACATTGTAATTGTGTCTTGAGGCTCTGCAGCTTAGAATTTAGAACACTGGGGGGTGGACCAGAGGAAAAGTCCGTTACTTAGAAGTATTGATTAACTGCCCACTGTGTGGCCAGTGCTATGCTAGGACCAGGTGGGGAAAGGAAAGATATTTTAAAAAAATACCAAGTCCTTCACCATGAAGAATTTTTGCTGTACTTGGGGAAGATGAGACTTCCACAGAAGAACACTTAGAGAACATTATGAGGGAAGATATCATCTGGTGTGCAGTTGTGTGCTGTGAAGTAAAAAGGGAATTCAGAAAAGTGGGGGATAATATCATTGTGGGCCTGAGTCATCAGAGAAAGTTTCATGAGGGAGGTCAGACTTGAGTTGGCCTTTGAAGGATAGCTATGATTTAGGTTTGTGGAGAGCAGGAGAGGGAAGGGCAGTCTAGATAGAGGACAAAGCATGAACAGAGACATGGGGACTGGAATGTTAGATGGCTGGGAGGATGGGAAGAAAAAGAGCTTGGGTAGAGTGTAAAATTCATGCCAGGGAGGTAGGGGATGGGCTAGGAGTGGGCAGGTTGATAGAGGGCCTTGAGTGCTTGGTGCAGAATTGAGACACAATCCCAGAAACGGCTCTTTTGATCAGGAAAGTGATGAGTTGGGTGTGTTGAGAGATAAACGTGGAATGTGTGGATAGGATACATAGGGAAGGTGAGAGAAGACTTGAGACAGAGGGCCCAGCCAGTAGCCTGTTGCAGTGATGTACAGATTAGGGTAAGGAAGGCATAAGGAGCAGTAGAACTCAATAGTCTTTAAGACTCTGAAATGTTATTGGAGACCACCACCAACAGTAACAGAAACAACCTTGGTGAATGTTTACAGAATACCTGTCCTGTCTAAAACTGGTTTTCATTTTCATAAGAGAAAAAGAGCTAAAACAGCATTGAAAAATTCCTACACATGAAGGTTCTGAAACACTAAAATGGGGTATTGTCTTTGCCCCTTGTTCCCCAACGTAGAAGTCTGTCAGAACCCAAGAGGGCTTTTCTGGTTAGTGACCGGAGGAATGAATGAAATGACTTGTTGACGTTTCTTTCAGGTTGGGGACCCAGGCCTTATACTTCTTCCCATCTCCCCTCCCCATGCCTTGACCTCTGGACCTCTGGTCTTTGTAGGTTTTCACACCAGACACTGCAGCAAACACCCATGATAGGTACCATGACTCCGCTGGGCGCCCAGGGCGTCCAGGCCGGCGTCCGATCAGCTTCCATCCTGCCTGAGCAGCAGCAGCAGCAGCAGCAGCAACAGCAGCAGCAGCAGCAGCAGCAGCAGCAGCAGCAGCAGTATCACATCCGGCAGCAGCAGCAGCAGCAGATCCTGCGGGTAAGGCTCTGGGATTTCCTCTGGGACCTGGGAGCCCAAGGAGGAGAGACACAAGCTCTTCCAGGTTGTTATCAAGACTGAATGAGGCCATGTACGTAAAGTGCCCGGCAGAGTGGCTGCCACATAGTGGGGGCTTAAGAAGTTAGTTCCCTCCCCTCCCCTGTTTTGTTCTGGGGGTCCTGGTGGGAGAGAGTTGGGAGTTGTCTGCTGGGTCCTCTAGATGTGTTTTCTTCCTCTGAAACTCTCTGAGGAGGGAGGGCAGTGGACCCAGAGTTCCCTCCCTGCTGCTGCTTCCCCGTCCCCATCCCTCCGCCACTGAGGCTCAACTCCCTTGCTCTCCTTAGAAGTATCTCTCATGTTTTTACAGCAGCAGCAACAGCAGCAGCAGCAGCAGCAGCAGCAGCAGCAGCAGCAGCAGCAGCAGCAACAGCAGCAGCAGCAGCAGCAGCAACAGCAGCAACAACAAGCACACCAGCAACAGCAGCAGCAGGCGGCTCCTCCCCAACCCCAGCCCCAGTCCCAGCCCCAGGTAGCTGCTGGACTACAGCCCCCGGCTCAGGGACAGCTGCCCATGTTGGGCACATAGCCAGTGAACTGGGTTGGGGACATTGTGCAATGGGGTAGAGGTTGGAGGCAAGGCATAGCACTCTAGAAAGGGGTTGGGAGATAAGGATGGAGAAGGAAGTGGAAGCTTCGAGTTCAGTCTTCCACTTCGCGTTTCCACCTCAGTTCCAGCGCCAGGGGCTTCAGCAGACGCAGCAACAGCAACAGACAGCAGCTTTGGTCCGGCAACTCCAACAACAGCTCTCCAGTAAGCCTGCCTTCCTTCCCAAGGAGAACCCCATGGAATAAATGGGGGTTGGGCCAAAGTCGCTGAGGTGGTTGCTTCAGGCCCAGGTTGTGGGGGGAAGCATTGCATTCCATCCCTTCCCTTGGTCCCTAAATAGCTTTCCTCATGCATACCCACACCTCTGCTTGGTCTCCCACTCCTGATAATCTCTGGTTTTTCACAGATACCCAGCCACAGCCCAGTACCAACATATTTGGACGCTTCTGAGCCACCTGGAGGAACCACTTGTGCACTGGATGTGGCCCCCCCCTTTCCTCTTAATTCCCAATCCCCTTCCTGGGCTAGCACCAGTAGTGGTTGGGGCTCTTCCCTCAGGCTCCATTTTTAATGAGTTTTTAGTATTTTTGTTAATGTGAGGCATTGAGCTGTTGGGTTTTGTATATTATTTATATAGAGACCCCAGAGCTGTTGCACCCAATACACAGAGCTTCTTTGCAAAGGGAAGTGTGTGAGTTCTGCATGGCCGGGAAGGGCGGGCTCTCGGGAGAGTGCTGGGGGCCAGACCAACCAGTCAGAGCCTTCATTCTGTTCAGATCATCTCCCCTGTTTACCTTCCACCCCCAAAATTTCTTAATTCTAATTGGATTGCTACCCTCTCTTCACCTCTCCAACCTGACAACATATGAAGGTTTGGGCCCTTAGTCTCTTAGAAGGGCAGCTTATCGTCTCAGCTAGGTGTTGCAGCTTCTTTACTGCTTTTCTTCATGGAGGATATACCACTGGGATTGGGGAGGGGCCATTAGGCCAGAGGAAGAATTAATGGAACCTAATTTTCCTTCCACCCATCCCACATGCTGGGGTTTGAACAAGCTTCGGGGTGGAGGAGGTCACAGACTACCTACCCTTTTTGCTATCTTGTGTGGTCCCCATCATGCACCAAGCAGTATCCTAGACAGAGAACTTCCCTGAGAGTCTCATTTCTGGGATGAAAAATTGCTCTCCATTGGCAAGTGTCACCATCGAGTAGGTGGTGAAACGATGGTGTGGTTCTAGGAGGAAGAGACCAGTGAAAGGAAGCACCCTTTTCTCTCTCTCATATGTTGCTGGAACTGCTTGTTTTCACACGACCCACCTTAGCAAGACCCAAGATGACTGTTGCTCACTCCCATTTTACAGTAGAGAAAACTCAAAACTGTTGGTTGCTCTAGTCACATTTGGAACAGTGGCAGGGCCATTCTCAGCCCCCTTGCTTTCAGGTTTGGGGCCCTAGATCCAGGAGAGCCAACTGGTTTACTACATTGGAGTCTTCTGGTGTGCCCAGCTGGGGCTGGAAGAGGACCAGCTCCAGCTTTGTGGGTGGGTGGTACAGGATGATCTGACAACTTCAGGATAACGTCCAGGCCATAGTTGCCTATATCACTGGGAAGTGTCAGATGTGCTGGTAAAACCAGGAGCACCAATCAATACCCAAGTTATAAAAAATAAAAAAGTAAAATCCCTCTTTGAAGTCCACAAAGCCCTTGCTCGTGTGGGACTCACCAAGTTGAGGAGTTGTGTGGGCAAAGAATGGAGCTCCCTGACAGGGTGAAGGCAAAGCTGACTGAAGCTTTCTTCTGACCTGTTCTATCCTGACATCCACATTCTGAGGAGCTTACAGGGGTAGAGGCTTGGCTGGAATAAGGGAGACTCAGGGGCTTGGGGTGGGGGGCTAAACAAACTGGACAGGTACACTACATACAGAAAAGACACAAAGACAGCTGGGTCTGGAGGGGAGAGACTGCAATGGTCGGACAACTGGCCTGCTGACTGAGTCTGCATGCCCCAGCAGAAGCAGCAGAAAGGAACAGCATTGACCTTTGGGAGAGTGACAGGATGAGGGCAAAGAGGCCCCTCCTCACTGGTTGCTGCTCAAGTAGCGCTGGTGCTGAGGAGAGGTGAGGGATGCTGAGTGAGGTGGAGGCGTGTCTTTGTGGAGCATGACTGGAGGCTCTTGCAGGCAGTGCCTCAGTTTCTCCCTTTGTTTCAAGGTCTGAAGCTTTGCAGGTAAAGTTTGGACTAGCTGCTCTAGAAGACCGCCTGTCTGTGACTTGAGGGGTATGTGTGTGTGAGAGAGGGAGAGAAAGCATGAGCAGAGCGTGCTTGAGCATGGGAGGAATTGGGCCATGCCCCAGGACTTGAGCCATCTCTGGCACAAAAGGAGTTAATGGCAGGGACCGCGCCCCCCCCACCCCGTGTCCGGGCACGCGCAGCGCGCCCCCTCGGTGCGCGGGCACAGCAGCCAGGCTGCCGGAGAGCAGATCTCGGGGATTCGGGTGCGGAGCCCTTGGCCTGGAGGCGATATGGGTGGTCCGCGGCCCGCTTCAGTCGCTCGCAACAGCCCGGGGAACAGGTGAGGCCGCCTGCCCCGGTCTCTCGTCCTGTAGCTGCCCGTACCTTGCCCCATCCTATTCCCTCCCAGTCCTAGGCTCCTCCACTCCCCAGCTAGTGCTCCCCAACCTTCTCAACCCCATGTTCTCCATCAGCACCCCTGACCCCCCAATCCTCCCCCGCTTCTCTCCTCCACCTCCTCCCTGAATCCTGCATCCCTATCATCCATCCTCCCGCCCATGGTCCCTCTATTTCCACAGCCCGCCCGCATGCTCATCAAAATACCCCTACCGAGGGCCCCCAGCCCCCTTCCTGTATTGCACATTGCCAGTTCCCCCTCCCCCACAGTGCAGCCCCATCCCTCTTCCATCATAGCATCTCATAGCCAGGCTCCCTCCCCCACTCTCTGCAGCCCCCCCTCGATGGAGGCCTTTATCCTATCCTCCCCCATTCCAATGCAGCTCCGTCCCTCAATACCATTTGGAACCCGCATAGCCCCCAATACTGCAGTTCTCAATACCAGTCCATTCCTGCACAATGCCCCTCGCCCAATACTGCTCCAGCCCAGAAAGTACCTCCAGATGCCATTCTGATTCCCAGCATTGCCGCCTCCCCTTGTCTTCTCCCAAATTGCACGTTGGACCAGGATGGAGATCTTGGCCTTAGGGACTCACAGTGGGTCCTAGGGTACAGAGGGCATTTGGGGGTCGGTCGATTTGTTTAGGTGTTCACTGGGGAGGAGCCTTTGGCGCCGAAGCGTTGCTGGAGAGGGAGGCATCCCGAAAGGGTTAATGGAATTTGTGGGGAGGGGCGGCACCGAGGGGGTTAATGGTGGTGGTGGGGGTTGCTGGCAGGGAAGCCCTGTGAATGAGCGGTCTGTGCCCCGGAGTTGCCATGGAGATGGTGAATGGGGGGATTGTGTGAACTCAGCTGTGGACTATCCCCCCCCCCACACACACACCCACTCCCTCCTGCCCCACCTCCCTGCTCCTACCCCTTCCTTTCCCTTCCCCTCCTTCCCCCCACCCGGGTGCATTCTGGGCAGTGTCTGGGATCTAACCCCTCATACTTTGCTCCCCATTTCCTCTGAGCACCCACCCCTTTAGTCTCTGCCTGCCTTCCCTCCTCCTCCTTTTTTTCTTCTTCTTCCCTCTCTCTTCCCTCCCTCACTCTCCTTCTCCCTCTCCCTCTCCCTCTCTCTCCCTCTCTCTCTCTCTCTCTTTCTCTCTCTCTCTCTCTCTCTCACACACACACACACACACACACACACACAAACACACACACACATTCTCATTCCCCTCTCGCTCATTCTCCTCTCGTGGTGGCCGAATGCCGGGCGTTCCCAATCTCCCTCCCCCACCCTTCAGCCAGTTCTTAAAGGAGCAGGCCTGCAATCTTGGAAGGCGGGAGAAATGGGGGATAACTAAATTGTGTGTGCGTGTGTGTGTCCATGCGGGCGTGTCTGTGTGTGCCTGTGTATATGTGTTGACGGTGTAACTGTGTGTCAGAAGGCCTGTGTGTCTTGAGTGTGTTGCTATTTCTGTTTCTGTCTCCACCTATGTGTCACAATTATGCTGCATGTGTCTCTGGATATTTACCTATGCGATGTGTGTGATTATATTTCAGTAAGTCTCTGTGTGTCTCTGAATGTATCTCTCTGTGAGTCTCTGGCTCTGTGAGGCTCTCTGTCTCAGAATGTGGGACTATATGAGGGGATCTCTGTGGGTTTGGAATGTATGTCTCTGTGAGTGAATATCGCAGTGTCTGTTATCTTGGCTTGTTCTCTCTCACTCCCTCTTTGAGTCTTTGTGAGTTTATTTCTTTGAGTCTCTGAGTGTGTGTCCCCCGCACTCCGTTGTTTATTTTACACTGGCTGAGCATCAACAATGCCTAAGGTGCTAAGCAGAACGGTTTCTGCCTCAGTTCTGGCACTCCATGTGAATTAGAGATAGCCTAACGGATGGAAAGGATCAAGGCTTAAGGATTTGGGAGCAGTGAGGGCTGAGGAGAAATGTACAGGAGGGGCACAGGAGGGTCTGGGGACTCTGGTGAATGGCCGTCCTGCCCCCTGCCCTGCCTGAGGGTGAGGGGTTCTTTCTGTGGGACCCTTTGCCTATCTGCTACTTTCCCTTCTTATGCCTTAGAGTCCCAGAGGGAAGGTAACAATCCTACCCTCTCCTGATGTGGAGGTCCCTGTGTGGAGTTACCTGGTCCAGGGGGCTAGAGAGCTCAGTGTCTACGCAGCATGCTCCATTTCAAGTTCTCCCCACCCCCTGCTACCACATGCTACTCTGGCTCCAGCTGACCCCCATGAGCTCCATTGGCTGAGGAGTTAGAGTTGGGGACTGGGAACTTGCAGTGGCAACAACTGTCACTCTGTCAATCCCCTTGGATTTTCCAACCATGGCTAGGCACATAGACTGGTTCTGACTGGCAATGGAGATCATCCATGGGTCCCTGGAACTCCAGGCATGTGAAACGTCTCCTAACTGTCGGAGAATAGCCCAAGCCCAGCAGGGCCCCGAAGACCGGCTTGATAGCCCTCCCTGACCATCTTGGATGACGCATACTTCCCTCTTTCCACAGGCCTGTCTGGCCCTGAGGGAGTCCCCTTTCTGAAGCTGTGGTGCTTGGACGACCTGTTCTCTATGTTGCCGGGCACCTGTAGGTGTCCCTCAAGAGCTCAGTTTTGAGGTGCAAGTCAGTGTGGCCATGAAGGGGCTGCCTATTGGGCTGATGCTGTGACCCTGGAGTCTGCCTTTCCTGCCAGTCCCCCTGCCCAGAACATGTGGCTGCGGCTTGGCCTGCCTTCGCTGTCCCTGAGCCCCAAGCCCACTGTTGGCCGGAGCCTGTGCCTCACCCTGTGGTTCCTCAGCTTGGTGCTGAAGGCCAGTGCCCAGGCCCCGGCGCCCACAGTCAATACTCACTTTGGGAAGCTAAGGGGTGCCCGGGTACCATTGCCCAGTGAGATCCTGGGGCCTGTGGACCAATACCTGGGGGTGCCCTACGCAGCTCCCCCGATCGGCGAGAAACGTTTCCTGCCCCCTGAACCGCCCCCATCCTGGTCGGGCATCCGGAACGCCACACACTTTCCCCCAGTGTGCCCCCAGAACATCCACACAGCTGTGCCCGAAGTCATGCTGCCGGTCTGGTTCACTGCCAACTTGGATATCGTCGCTACTTACATCCAGGAGCCCAATGAAGACTGCCTCTACCTGAACGTCTATGTGCCCACGGAGGATGGTGAGTGCTGCGGCCAAGCACTGTGCCCCCCCCCCCCCGCCTCCCACCTGCCCTGTTGTGTTTGTGGCTTGCATGTGGTTGTGTGCCCTGCAGCATGCATCTGTCTGTCTGTGAAAACGCTTCTACCCATCACTCTGCTTGGCCTCCCCCTTCCTCTTCCCTGTTCTTCCCTCTCCCAGCATTGTCTGAGCTCCCACGTGTGAGTGACACTGTTACCAGGAGGGGCCTGGCCAGGCCTGAAAGCTTTGACAGGTCTAGGGCCAGAGTGCTGGATGGGGGTTCCCTGGGAGAGTATGGGTCACTGCTGGCAGCTGCCCGCGGGAGGATGCTGGCTCCACCAGGCCCGCCTGTTGCCATTCCACCTGCTTTGAAAGGTGGTAGGTGTGTGTGGCCAAGGGAGCTGGGTGTGTGTGGGGGGCGGAGGGCAAGCCTGGTGGGCATTGCTTAGGTGCCTCCTCTTTCACTAGCTGATGCCTCCTCTCGCGGGGGTCACACTAAGGTAAGTGACAGAAACAAGGAGATGGTGGGACAGGCTCTCTGCCTTGTGCCGCCTGCAGAGCAGCTCTTGGGGCCTGGTGGGGTGGGGGGTGCATGCCCCTGGGCAGAGGCCTCCTGTTATTTTTTAGTTTTTTATTCATTTTACAGTAAAGCGGATTTCCAAGGAATGCGCCCGAAAGCCCAACAAGAAAATTTGTAGGAAAGGAGGTAGGTAGCGAGCCGGCGGGGAGGGAGAGAGAGAGAGAGGGAGGGCTGCCTGCCCACCTGCCCTTGCCCCTGAGGACCCAGCCTTCCTTCAAGTAGCCCAGGCTCAGGGGGCGGTCGGTGAGCAGGCATAAGCTCCACCTCATCCAAGGGCCCTGGCTGCTTTTCAGGGAGGATTTGGTGGCCTAAGTCAGGTTCAGAGCAGAAGCAGCAACCCCATTTCTTCCAGTCTTCTCAGCCCCAAATTCCACCCTAAAGCGTGTGCCAAAGACAGAGCTACCTCAGGAGAAACTCTAGGCAGCCAAGATGGAGCCAGAGGCTCTGCCCTTTTCCTGGTTGGGGAGCCAGCTCATCCCTCCACGCCCTTTCCCAGAGTGAAAGTCTAGACTCAACTCTCCAGCCCTTAAGCTTAGACCAAAGTAATCCTGCCACCCTGCCCACCACGTCTGGCCAGAGCATAGCTGAGTGACCCATGCTAGTCTGGTGGCAGACCTTGGCGGTCTCTGGGAACCTTGGACTCTAAAGGAGGCATGAGAACCCTGAATTTTAAATTTACCCTCTTGCTGGGAAGAATTTGTTCCCCCTGTATAATAATTCTTCCTGTTCGAATACCACTTTATATTTTCTGCAAAGCGCTTTCATACCTCATACAATCCTCCCCACATCTCTGGAAGCTTATAAGGCAGGAATCCCAATTTTATGGGTGAGGAAACAGGCCCAGGGGAGTGACTTGTTGATGCTCAAGGCCCCATCACTGGTCTGTGGCAGAGCTGGGACCAAAACCTGGGTCTCTTGACCCTCAGGGCAGTGTTCTTTCCACTGTAGCACGTAAGGCAACTCCCATCTGGTCATTCCCACCTCCCCAACTCTGGAAAAAAAAGGATGAAATATGGATGGGTTGGGCCAAATTGGAAACAGTAACAGCCTAAGGAACAGGTGGAAAAATCACAGCCTGATCCCCACGACCCTTTGGCAAGCTTGGAATTTGTTTTCCTTTGAAATCCTAGGGCAGGGTGCCCCAGAGGAGGCTGTCGGGATTCCTGGGCCAGGATGCTCCCTGCTGAGTAAGACTCTCTGGGGGCAGAGCCCAGGCATCCACGTGGTGAGTGTGTGTGCTGAGCGCTCTTGATGCACGCTGAAGCACTGAGTAAGGCCTGCTGCCCTATGGGTAGTGTTGCACCACATTCCGACACCCAGCCCGGGACCTCACACACAGCAGGCAATCAGTAAACACTTTCTTGCATGAATGAAACAGCGTTGTGGTATTGCAGGAAGAATACAGGTCTGGGAACCACAAAGCCTGACTGAGTCCCAGCTCTGCTGCTAACTCACAGCGAGACTTGAGGCAAGTCTTTTCCTTTAAGAACCTTTGTTTCTGCCTCTGAAGGTGGTAGGGGACCATTCTTGCCTTAACATTCCAATAGCCTATAAATGAATTCAGGAAGCTGGCCTCTTAAGCCTACTTCTGTGAGTTACTCACTGGAGGGGGCAGGGAGAGGAGAGAACATTAACATTAACCATTTCCTGGGAGGAATGATCTCCCCAGGGAACCATTAAGAGCCTAGGGCAGTCCAGTCCAGTCCTGAGAGTCTGGTTAGAGAGCTGACTGGAAGCTCCACTCAAATACAAACGTTTACTAATCATGATTGTTGACTATGGGCAAGGCCATGTGCTAGGTGCTGTTGGGATGTGGGGGGATATGAGGTAGAGGAAAGATTTAGGAATAACTAAAGGCCTGATCACTACTTTGAAGAAGCTCCTAGCCTAGTATTTAAACTAAGCTGGTTTAGGTAAGCCCCACAGGCCAAGCTGGGGAGTAGGTTCCAGACAGTGTCGGGGAGGGCATTTGGTCATTTAGCTGTTCAGATTAGTTCCCTATCCCGGGCCTGTTGGCCGTTCAGAATGGAGTTACAAACCCCGCCTCTTGGGGGAGACCCATCCCCAGAGGCTGTTAGGGTTGTGGTATGCATGGGGTAGGCAGGGCTGGCCTGGTTGGGATCCCGCAGCAAGCACAGTGTCGGGATGGGATCAGTGGTCCAGCTTGCCTGGGTGACAGGCATGGCAGCAAGGAGTTGCTCAGCAAGTGCTAAGCTGAAAGAGCAAAGGCATCTGTCCCAGCAAAGGAGGAGGTGGACAATGCAGCAACCCAGGGAAACACCCAGAGGGGGGCAAAAGGGACTCATCTTCTGAGTCAGGGCCCCTGGGAAGTAAAGAATTTCCTGGGGAAGACCTGCCCCATACCCCCACCTCCATCCCCATCAAGTTGGAGGGAATTCATGTTTAGGGATGAGTGATTCCTTTCCCTTTGGGGGAAATGGAAACATAACGGTGCCCCGTGTCCCACAGGGTTTCTGAGGGCAGTACTGGTTGGTAGGCGCCACTGAAAGTTCGGGAAGCCGGAGGCGGTTTCTGCCCCTTGGGCTGGCTCTTGCTCTAGTTGAAAAGCTATTTTGTAATATGAGGGCGGTTCCTGTTTTGATTAATAGCTGTAAGGGAATTCAGTCACCAGAGCCCAGACCAGCTGAGAAAGAGGGCTATTTGCTGTCTCCAGGCTGAGAGTATCTGGTGTCATAGAGGGTAAGCCCTGGGGTGCCAGCAGAATGACCTCTGTTTCCACATGCTGACCAGCATCCAGGCAGTAGGTCCTCTTGGTCCACAGCCATTCTCAAGATGCACTTCTTGTCACCTTAGAACAGGAGGGAGAATTGGTACCAGCTTATCCCCAGGTCCTAAATGTCTCTTTTCTCTCCTCTAGTCTCTTCTTTTCTCTCCTTCCCTTTCCTCCCCTCCCCTCCACACTCCACCTCTTCTCTCATTTATTTTTTCCCTTCCCTTTCCCTCATCCCAGAAAGGTGGCATGGTGCAGTGGAAAGACCATGGGCTTTGGAGTCAAGCAGACCTGGGTTTGACTCTCACCTCTAGCACTTCCTAGCTGTGTGATCTTGAGCAAGTCACTTTACCTCTCTGAACCTCAGTTTCCCCATCAGTGAAACAGGAATAAAGACAGCACCTACGTCATTGGGGTGTAAGGATCAAACAGTATGGCAGAAGTAGAGTGTCTGGCACATGGTAAAGATTCAGTACGTGGTAGGAGCTATTACCATTATTCCTATCTCTCTGTTTCTCTCTCTCTCTCTCTCTCTCTCTCTCTCTCTCTCTCTATCTCATGTCCCTTTCTCCTTTTCCCTTTCCTTCTTTCCCTCCATCTCTGGCTCTCTCTAGATCTCAGAGCAATGCTTGCTGCTCTCAGGCCTGGTTCCTATGGCAGGAACCTCATTTTCCATTAACCAGAGCAGGGGGCCCCAATGAGGAAGACCAGAGGGAAAGCTTCATCTCCCATTTTCTCCTGTGGGAATCAGGGTCAGCTGAGGCCCAGCTTGAGCCTGCCCACTGGGCCCAGGTAGCTCAGGGCTGGGGTCCTTGGTACCCGTCTCTGCCCTAATAGCTCACATCTACCTCCACACATGCTGGCAATGCCGCCTCTCACCCTCAGTGCCTGCCCTTGCTCTCCAGCTCAGCCTGCCTGTGTACACACGCACAGTCTCTTCCACCTGGAAGAAATCCTTTCCCTGAGTGGGTCTCTGGCTCTGTGCCCTGGCCCTTGTGCTGCTACCTCCTTCCTAACTGGGAAGGTACCTGGTTGAGATGGGCTGTTGGGGACAGGGAGGCGGGGCAGGGAGGTGCAGGGAGGCCAGCACAGCAGGGGCCTGCAACACCATCATCCTGATGAAGGTCTGGGCCTCAGCCCACCCATTCCCTCAGTTCTTGCCATCCCTCCTGCCTGTCCTGGGCCCAGGCCCAGAGCTGGCTTGCTGGGCCACACTGCAGTCATGCTGTTTTTGAATTCTCTCTCTGTTTTGTTCTCTGTTCTGTGCTGTTGTGTCTCCCCGTGTCTGGTCCCCAGGATCCGGCGCTAAGAAACAGGGCGAGGACTTAGCGGATAATGACGGGGATGAAGATGAAGGTATTTGGGGGCTGCAGGGCGTGGCGGCTGGTGCATGGCACAGAGCCCCTCCCCCTCTCTATGGGGAGAAGCCCCATCTGTCTGTCTGTCCGTCCGTTGGTGTGTTTCTGTTCCTGTACAAGGCCGTTGGGCTGTTCATCCATCTTTGGCCTGGTTGGCCACCGGGACTTTCAGGGTGATGGACACGGCTGGCGGGAGCAGGGGACCATAAGCAGAGCCATGGGGAGGGCATCCTCCTCGCCCTGCGCCCCCACCCCATCTTCAGTCCTACAGTAGAAGCAGGCACTGCTGGAGACAGCTTCCTCCCCCATCTTCTGTGGTTCACGGGCACCTGCCCCTACTGAGCAGCAGGGAGAGTGGAGAGAAAGCAGGGCTGAGGGAGGGCGAGGAGAGGCACAAAGGACACTGGATGGCGAGGAGATGCCTGTGTTTCATTGAGGAGACACCTGTATTTCACCGGGAGACTGGCTCCTGGGAGAGGGGCCCAGCAGGATGTTGAACTGAGGAGTGAGGCAGTGACAACCAAAGGGGCTGGAGAATAGCACCACCTAGAACCTCCCCAGCCTTCTCCCAGAAAGAGAGAGATGGCCTCAGGGCCAGGGGCTGCAATAGGTTTGGGACAGGGCCAGAAAGACTGTGGGCTAAAGCACCAGGCTGAGGTCAGGACACCACAGCCCAGTGAGTAGAGGACATAAGATCCTTGGGTGATGGTTGAACCAGTCTTCCTTCTTCCTTGGGGAAACAGGTTGTGTTTGCTCGGCAGCAGAGCACATTCCCTTCTACCTCCATGCCCTGGCCCTGCTCCTCCACTTCTGGAGGGGCCAAACAGTCCAGGGGTCCCACTGGTGGCTGATAGGGCTGTGCTGGTGTGGCAGAGTATTGGTCCAGCTCACAGACTGAAAGGCTGTGGGTAGAGGTGATCTGGCTGGGACCTTCTCTTGACTGCCCAGCCCCGACGCCAACGCCATGCTACCTGGGCTTGGGAGCAGCCGCTTGAAGGTCCCTCGTTGAATGGCCTCTGGGGAGGCTCCATCTTCCTCTTAATGCTGACTGGGGGCAGGTTCCCTCATTCTTAGTTCTGCCCCTTTCCTCTTCCCCATCCCCAGTGTTTGCGGTTAAGTCTGCCTGATGCCCAGGGAGAATGGGGTAAATGAGCACATGGCTAAGAAACCATATCAATAAGGTTCCCCCCACCCCATCTCTGCCATTCACTCCCCTTTCCCCACATCCTTCCTTGTTCTCTCCCTGTGCCACCCCTTATTCCCACCCCTCTTGTCTCTGTCTGCGCCGGGGGGCCAGCTGCTGCCAATGGCCGTATTTCCATGTAACTGGTCTAGTCTTGGGGGTTTCAGGGCTCCCCAGCCCCTGTTCTCTGAAGCCATGTCAGGTCCCAGGACTCCTGGGTGCCTAGGGCAGGGACTCACTTGATACAGCTAAAGGACCAGCCCTTCCTCTTCCTCCTGCTCCCCATCCCCAGGGCCCAGCCTCAGCCTCCCTAGGCCCAGCCGTATCAGGCACACCTGGCTGCCTCCAGCTGGGAGGCACTTGAAACCAGAGTCTTTAAAAACATCACTGGTGTCCGACTGTCTCTGGCCAATGCTTGAGCTCCAGGCTGAGCAACCCCATTAGTCCCGCCCTCAGAGTTGGCAGTGGTGTCCTGGCGCCTGGGATAGCTTTGCTGCCCGCACCCCTCCCCCCCCAGGGCTGGCGGGGGTGGGAGAGGAAGGGCATCCTACCCAGCTTGTGTCTCACCCCTTCTCCTTGCAGACATCCGGGACAGTGGCGCTAAGCCCGTCATGGTCTACATCCATGGAGGCTCTTACATGGAAGGGACAGGCAACATGATTGATGGCAGCATCCTCGCCAGTTATGGCAACGTCATCGTCATCACCCTCAACTATCGGGTTGGGGTGCTAGGTATGGTTCCCTGCTAGGGGCCTAGAAGGAAGCCTGGGTTCTCAAGGAGGGAGAAAAGAATGCTGAGGAGTTAAGAACAAGTGGCCTTGGTTTTCTAGCTGGTGCTAACGACCAGAGTCGAAATGTTGTTATCCCATGGCCCCTGCCCAAGTGCTAGGAGCTCCCCCATGTCCCCAGGCCCTTTCCTGGAATGTTTAGGTGCCATTGGAAATTCAATTCAAACTTCACACCTTCTCTTATGTCTCAAGCAAGGTCTCTGTTTCCAGACTTATGCTTGGCTGAGTTTTGTAGGGTCCGTTAATTTTCTAGTGTCCTGTCCTCATCCCTACCCACACACTCCCACATTCCTAAACACCCCACATATACACAGATATTCCTTCTAGCCAGTCACATATCCGCATACCTGCATCCCTCACATATCCACACATCCACACTGCCCATATCCACCCCCAGGCATACGATTATGTCTCACTCACTCCCCACAAGCACACACATATACCCATACACATATAGACCGCCACATTCACATCTACAGACCTACTCATATATGTGCACGTTCCCCACCCTCCATATACACTCCACACATATAGTTCCCCCCACACATATCCACATACCCATATACCTCTATAGACTCCACACCCATACCCCACATCTACAGATTTCTCTCACCTCCCATACACACACACACACACGCACACACACATGTTCCCATATATCTCTCCCTCTACATCTCTATATCCACATCTACACCCATACACACTACACATACCCACACTCACACTTTCTTCTACTCCCATATATGTGCTCTACACAAAGACCCAGACCCTGCACATCCACATCCGCACCCAAACCCCACACGTATATACCTTAAATGTACATAAATATTCCTTACACACATACACACACACCCATATGCCCCTACACACCCCACTTCCGCATCCACCCCAACACCCAAATACACACATATACACCTTCCCTACATAAACACAAACCAGTATTCTCTCTCCCTATACATATATACCCATACCTGCATGTCCACCTCACCCCACACAAACACAAATACACACACAAAACCCCTCATATCCCTGCTTCCACATTTGCATACACATCCCATTCACTACACTTATATATTCGCCCCACATATACACATACCCATAGACCTACACAAATACCCACATGCACACATACACATACACACATAGATATTCCTCCCATACATTCCCTGCATATATACATCCAATACATACAGATGTACATATTCCCCCACCCTATCCCACAAGTACCTACACATTCATGTACCCACACCTGGCCTTCCAGATCCATACGTGCAGACACACCTCTACTCACCCCCATACTCGTGCATGCCCCACACTTACATACCCCCTATATACACATGTACACATTTCTTCTACTCTCTCCACGCATACATCCCCACACACTCCCATCCCATTAGTACACAAATGCACTCCCACACATACACACTTATTTCCCAAATGCCTCCTTGTACACACCTGTATGCCCTTGCCACACACACTGTTGTCCACACACTTGTTTCGGTGATTTAGGCTGCCCCTCTACCTTGTACCTTCCTTGGTGACTGTTAATGCCTATCTGTGGCCAAGGTCTCCAGGTGAACAAGTGCCTCAGAGAGGGTGACTCAGCGTATAGAGCCTCGCTCTCTTTCAGATGCTCACCCTGGCCTCAGAGGGCACCTGCAGCCCCACATCCCTGGAGTGGCATGAAGAAGCCAACTTCTTGCCTGGACGGCTTGTGTGCTCCGAGTTCCATGGGGGTCTAGGCTGTTTGTCAGGTCTGTCGGCCTGAGCGCTGCACCAGCAATTAGGCATGGTTTACTCCATGGCCAGCTGGCTCACAGGACATTATTTTAATTTGCTTTTGAGTACATTGCTTTGCCAGTTCTAATATCCCAGAGGCCCTGGTGCTGCGTTTCACTTCTGGGTGCAGTTATGTACAGAAAGGCAATCTCCTCTTGGCTTACCCTTGATATTGTGTGGGGTAGCAAGACACCTTTTTGAGGTTCAGATTGGAGAAAGGACATTCCTTGAAAAAAGTGGAGCCTATGTCCCCTTCAGTGGCATCTGGATACCAGGTATGAAGCAGGCAGGGCATCTCCGTGGTCTCTCAACAGTGTGGTGGGCTTTGGTTTCATGGTTCTGCTGCTGCTCCTCTGTCCTTCTGAGTTGCCCCAGACATCACAGCAAGGCTCTTGCAAGCTGTTCTTCCCTGTTGAGAAAGGAGATCTGAGCCTCTGAGAGTAAAAATGATACCATGAAGGTGGCTGTCAACCCACACACTAGGGCTGCACAGTTCCTGAAGAGTGATGAATATACAAACGTAATCACACAGATATACAGGCACACGTACATGGTAGGTGAAGGCCAAACTAATTTTGCGACTTTATTTTCTTAGTGAGAGTAATAGAATATATTCAGCTCAGCTGCTTTTAAAAATTATAAACACAAAGCTCCAGTCTATAAGGTTTATTGGAAAGCACAGAGAATGCTAAGGATATGTTTCAGTTCCATATTGTCGGATCAACTAGAGATGAAGGAAAAGAGAGAGTGGAGGAGCAGGGAAAAGAGGGGAAAAAGCAAGGAAGAGAAGAAAAGGACGGGGGAGAGAAAAGAGGGCCAGAGTGACATAGAGAAAGGAGGCAGAAGGAGAGACTCATAGGATTTGAAGTATCAGGTGGGAGCTGTGGGCTGCACAGAAGGCTGTTGCTGGTGAGCCCTCCCTATGATATCCTTTTTTTTTTTTTAAAGATTTTATTTATTTATTTTTTCCCCCCAAAGCCCCAGTAGATAGTTGTGTGTCACAGCTGCACATCCTTCTAGTTGCTGTGTGTGGGACGCGGCCTCAGCATGGCCGGAGAAGCAGCGCGTCGGTGCACGCCCGGGGTCCGAACCCGGGTCGCCAGCAGTGGAGCGCGCTCACTTAACCACCAAGCCACGGGGCCGGCCCATCCCTATGATATCCTGATGTGCCGACTGCTTCACAAGCCTTCAACTGCTCTGGTCCTTAAGCTTCTATATCAGAAGTTCTTAACCTTTGGGGGAGTCTTGGACCCCTTTGAGATTCTGATGAAAGCTATGGACTCTCCCCCAGAAAAATGCACACACACACGCAAACTTATAGAAATGATTTCATGGATCCCACTGAAGCTCATCCATGAAACTCAGGTTAAGAACCCCCACTTTATAACCTCCTCTCATTTGGATGACTAGAACAGCACATCCTGGGGCATAAATATTATTCTCTGGGCTTAAGCTGTTAATGATCAAAATAATATTACCCAAACCTCAGAAGGAGTCATGAACTGAGATTTGGTCAGTTCTCCACCAGTTCCTGTGTACCCTTCAATGCCTGCTCTGGAAAACAAATGTAATCAATAAGCCACTGATTGGATTCTGGGTACATACAAGATGCTTTTGTCTCTTGGCGCCGGATGTAGAACATGGGGTTTTCCCTGAAGCTTGGGGATTTCACTGTGTAGCTGAGGATTTGTTGTTTGGTTTCCCAAAGCCTCCCAGAACAGGTGGCCAGTTTTGGACCTCAGTTATGTGCATTCATTCACCCTCCCTCCCGTCAGCTTCTCTGGAGCACTGAGCCCAAATAGACGGTTCACTCGAAGGTGCTTCTTTAGACATCTTGGGTGATTCGTGTATTTGGAGAATGTCATAGGCTAGTCCATGGATCCTGTCTAAGGCAGAGGGGCAGGTCTTATTTGAGAAGCCTCCACTGGGCTTGAGACCAACAAAAGAAAGAAACCCCAGCAGGATATAGGATGTAGATATCCCTGGGGTTGAGGAAGTAGGGGCTTGCCAAGTTTTATTCTGGCTTCCAGAATTTAATTCTATGTCCTTGCTCAGATACCCTTCAGGCAAACTGAAAACCTGGTAAATGTCAAGCCTTGAGTGACACAGATATCTAGTTTTGATACAGTGTGCCAGATTCCCCCATCTTCTGTTGACAAGCAGCTTACCATGTACTGCAGTATAAACTTGGGCCCAGGGTGACTGGTTCCGATTTATTCTGACAGTTTATGGAGTTTGGTGTTTCAGCCCTCATTTTCACATGGTTTCTGTGAATGGCTGAGTTACTGGGGAACTAGCAGTGAGTGACTGCTCACCCAGACTTCCAGGTTTTGTATGCTTTTGTGGTCGGTCACGTTTGCTGTATCATCTGCCTGAGCCTTTTGGATATAGCACTTTAAGCAGGACTCTTGTAGTAGGGATGGTTGACATCGCATCGTCCACAGGCTTCAGTGCCTCTTATCCTGAGGTTTGTGGGATCCGAGGGAGCAGAGAGTGATGGTCGAATCCTCCACCCAGCCCTTTCAGGCCTTTGTTCGTAACTCAGGAATTCGGTCCATGTTGGAGAAATCTACTTTACTACATCTAAATGCAGACTTTTTCTACTGATTAAGACAGATGTATTTGACACATTTCACTGAATGATACCTTAGCAAAGGCTGAAGCCAAGTCTGCTATTGCCTAAATAAGAGAAAAGGAAAAGAGAATACGGGGGAAGGAGAGAGGAGGGAAGGAGGATAGGCGGGCTAAGAGAAGCACATAGTGGTTTGGTTTTAGCCCCAGGGTCTCAAGGCTTGGACAGCTGGGTTGGATCTTGGTCAGCATACTTTTTTTTTTTTAATAATGTGGTTTTATTGATTTATTTTTTGGTGAGGAAGGTTCGCTCTGAGCTAACATCCATTGCCAATCTTCCTCTTTTTTTGCCTGAGGAAGATTGGCCCTGAGCTAACATCTATGCCAATCTTCCTCTATTTTGTATGTGGGTTGCTGCCACAGCATGGCTTGACAAGTGGTATAGGTCCGTGCCTGGGATCCAAACCCATGAACCCAGGCCGCCGATGTGGAGCATGCCGAACTTAACCACTATGCCACGGGGCCAGCCCCCATCAGCATACTTTTTAAGACTCACAGTAGCAGCTTCAGTTTGTGAATGGGCCAGGCAAAGGAGAAGCTGGTTCCTTGTCTAGAGGAACAAGGGATCCTCCGTTCATCCTCATTCAGGCTTTCTCTAATGCCTTCTCATTTCCTCTTCGGGCACCTGGGGGCTTGTGACTAGGTCCTGAGAGGAATAATCTAAGTACTTTACATACTTAATTGTACCAAAGATAAATTAATAACACCCTTGAAGAAGGTGAGATGAGCTCTTTTGCAGAAGCTAGAAACAGGAGGACTCGGGAAAGATAGTGATGAGGTCTTGAGCCTACTTGAGTCTATTTGAATTCAGCCTCTGCCCGTGGACTGCCAGGCCCACCAGCTTTCTCTGTGAGCTGAGGGAGCCTCCTCAAACATGGCCTCTCACAAAGTGGATCCCAGGTGCTGCAAATGAGCTTTTAACTGTAGAGTCAAAAAATACTGATCCAGGTATGGGTTTCCAATGTGTAGGAGCACCACCACTTCCCACCTGGAAAGAACCCTTCCGAAAGCCTAGGGCGGGAGAAGATAGAGCCTTCCAAGGAGCCTAAGGATCAGGGAAGAGAGATGAAATGAGGCAGCAGGATCAGTCTAAAATGGAAGCAGGGTGGGGGGGAATATAGGACATCTCTGTGGGATCGCCAGCAGGTGGGCGGGAAGGTAGTCTCCATGGCAACAAGTCTCCACAGCAGCAAATCCCAGCAGGTGGGTGGGAAGGTAGTCTCCATGGTGACATGTCTCCTCAGCAGCAAATCCCAGTGGGTGGGCGGGAAGACCTGTTTCTGTGGTAACACACTGCACTGACTTCCCCATTTCTCCATCAGACAAAAAAGATGGTCTAACTCAGTGGTTTTTCCAACTTTAGCAGGCGTCAGAATCACCTGGAGAGCTTGTTAAAAACACAGATTGCTGGGCCCTATCCCCAGAGTTTCTGATTCATTAGGTCTTGGAGGAAAGGAAATGAGGACCTGCCCTGAGAATGAGGAGAAGGGGCATCCAAGGCCCTGGGAAGAAGTGGAGATGGATAAACTTGTACAGGAAGGGCAAGGAGAGCTTAGGGATTGTTGCCTCTTGGGATCTTCACTTCCCTCAGAGAGAAAAGGAAGGGGGAAGAGAAGTAACTATAGATTTACAATGTGCTAAGTGTATTAGAAAGCTTATGTTCGTTTTATCTTTGTTACAACACTTTGAAGTATTTTTATCCCCATTTTACAGAAAAGGAAACAATATAGCCCAGAGATTTTAAATAACTTGCCCAAGGCTACACGGCTAGTAAGTGGTAGGGCCAGGACTGGAACCAAGGACTATATGACTCCAGGGTTGCTCTTTCTACTCTATTTTGCCAGGTGCTAGGGTCATATCCCAGACAGTACATCAGGGCAGAGGATGCTGGGTCCTGGCCATTTGCACTTCCTGCAATTTATGTCTCCTAACTGGAGGCATCCCCTTTGAGTGGTCTGGAGTCCCCTCCTTCCAAACTGGAGAAAGGGTGGGAGGCAGGGAGCTGATCCTTCCTGAATGGATGGTGCTGGACCTTGTTGAAAGGAGCAGTGGTTTATGCTAACCAGGTGGAAAGAACTACGCTGCATGCTCATCTTCTGTCCTCATGCCCCCGACTCCTGCCTGCCATCATATCCCAAATTCTCCATCCTTCCGCCTTCACTGTCCTCGTGCCCTGTGTTGAATCTAGGTTTCCTGAGCACTGGAGATCAGGCTGCCAAGGGCAACTATGGGCTCCTTGACCAAATCCAGGCCCTCCGCTGGGTGAGCGAGAATATTGCCTTCTTTGGTGGTGATCCCCGCCGTATTACCGTCTTTGGCTCGGGCATTGGTGCATCCTGTGTCAGCCTCCTCACGCTGTCGCATCACTCGGAGGGTGAGTAGCTCTTGGGGCAAAACATGAACTAGCGAGGTGCTGGCTGCCCACCCCGGGCCTCAGGCCTTCCAGGCTCCAGAGGGCTCAGTTCCATACCCCAGGAGCACCCAGGGGAATCAGCCAGCCCTCTTCTACAAGCTCAGTCTCCCTTTGGGGAGAAGCAGAAGGGAACTATTTCTCTAGGGGAAGAAGTAATTCTCCCAATGTGAGAGGGGGAAGGAGAGAATCCCCATTTACATCTTGAGAAAGTAAGGTTCTCCTTCTGATGTGGGAGTCTTATTTGGGAGAGTGGGAGTAGAATGCCTCGCTCTGAAGAGATGATGGTTCTTTTGGGGCAGGGGAAATCTTTCAGTCTGGGAAGGACACACGACTTCAGGGTAGTGATCTAGGGTGGAAATTAGTTATTAGGTGTAAGAAACACTCATTTTCTGCCTTTCTCTCTGAAGAACAAGTCTGTACAAGAGGAGAACTGTCCCTGAGCCGGGAGACGGGTGGAAGTGAGGATCACTACCCTGCGGGGCGGGCTTTTTCTGCAGCCTGTGATCTGTTATCCGACTCCAGATGTCCTCCTGGGCTGTCATGCCCCCCAAGGGAGACTCTCATTTTTAGCCTGAAGGAAAGCCTCTCTCCTTGCCATGGGTCCCTCTGCCAGTGACTCTTCCAAGGGGCCCGAATAGGCCCTTTTTTGCTTAGCAGGAAATGTTCTCTTTACCTCTGGACGACAGAGCACGTTATGTCTCTGAGAGGCAAAGGTGAGCTTCTCACGAACAAGAGATCCTCCTGAAATAGGTGCCTATCTCTGAAGTAAGGAGATCTGTGAGAGAAGACATGGTTTTTCGTTGAAATCCACCCCATGAGCTAGTGATAGTCTCACAGGAAGACCTTCAGTCTCTCTTTGAAGAAGGCCTGTCTCTCTGAGAGAGAAAAATCACCTTCTCTGACATAGAAATTCTGTCTCTGTCCCTCCAGGGACTACCCTGGTGAGGGAAGACTAAGGTTGGATGCCCACCGCAGAATGTGTTTCTAGGTGACAGTAATGGAAACAAGAATCCCTTTTTTGCACAAAGGAGGGTGAAGTAACTGGTCGTGAGAGTGCCTCTGTGTGAAATGAGGAACAGTGCCTCCTCTGACTAAGGACTATTTCCCTGGGAGGAGAAGGCCTTTCTTGGAGTAGTGCTCGACTCTGTCTCATAGGGAGCCTGTGTCCCTGGAGGCCTGGCTGCTTTAAAGATTTGTTCTCTCTGTCTTTCTGTAATTGATTCATGGAGAATAATCTTTTGAAAAGTGAGGCTCTCCAAGTAGTAATCTATATTTCTCTTCCTCTCTTTCTGCCCATGCAAACTGTCTTTCTCTTAGAGGAACGGAACTGTGTGCCTGAGGGCCAGATTCTCCCCTACTTGGGAATGTTGGGGCCAGGGAGAGAATGATACCCTTTTTTTCCTAGAGGGGAAGAATCATCCACTTTTTTAGTTTGGGGGACTGGCTCCCTCTTAGCTAGGAGAAAAGCTGGATCTGAGGCATCAGTAGTTTCAGGAAAAGGAAAGTATCTGTGGAGACTACAGCTGGGAAGGTACCCTGGAGACTTTCAGACCCCAAGGCCTTTGCCCTCAAGAATCCTTCCCCAAACTCCCAGAATGTGAGGCTCTCTCCTGCCTGCATTTCTCATCTCTCATGAAAAAGACCCCTTTGTGGTGGAAGCGCTAGCTCCCTGGTGGTGTGCTGGCACAGAGCTGGGCCCAGCTGGGCAGGAAGCAAGAGGGGAAGACAAGGAAAGATAAAGAGAGGGTGCATAAGGAAGCTGATGTCTGGGACCCAAGGGGTTAATTCTTCCTGCCATTTCCTTAACCCTCAAGTTACCAACCATCACCCCAGAACAGGGAAGCGACCAGTCAGGGAAGGGGCCCCGCAAGCCCTCCTCTGGTCCTAACCCATCATCCTGGCCAAAAGACTTGTTCCTCCTTCACAGCCCGTTCAACCCACAGGGCAGCCTCAGTAACAAAGAATGAGGAGGTGTCTGGTGTGTCCCTCAGGGACAGGCAGGGGAGGTCTAGGCTGTGGGTGACATAACACCTCTGACCTGGTGCTGCCTATCTTCTGTAGGGCTTTTCCAGAGGGCCATCATCCAAAGTGGTTCTGCTCTGTCCAGTTGGGCTGTGAACTACCAACCAGTGAAGTATACCAGCCTGCTGGCCGACAAGGTGGGCTGTAACGTGCTAGACACAGTGGATATGGTGGACTGTCTTAGGCAAAAGAGTGCCAAGGAGCTGGTAGAGCAGGACATCCAGCCAGCCCGCTACCATGTGGCCTTCGGCCCTGTGATTGATGGTGATGTCATTCCTGATGACCCTGAGATTCTCATGGAACAGGGTGAGTTCCTCAACTATGATATCATGCTAGGTGTCAACCAGGGTGAGGGGCTCAAGTTTGTGGAAGGGGTAGTGGACCCTGAGGATGGTGTCTCTGGCACTGACTTTGACTACTCAGTCTCCAACTTTGTGGACAATCTGTATGGCTATCCTGAGGGTAAGGACACCCTGCGGGAGACCATCAAATTCATGTACACAGACTGGGCAGACCGTGACAACCCTGAGACCCGCCGTAAAACACTGGTGGCACTCTTCACTGACCACCAGTGGGTGGAGCCCTCGGTGGTGACAGCTGATCTGCATGCCCGCTATGGCTCACCTACCTACTTCTACGCCTTCTACCATCACTGCCAGAGCCTCATGAAGCCTGCTTGGTCAGATGCAGCTCATGGGGACGAAGTACCCTACGTTTTCGGTGTCCCTATGGTAGGCCCCACTGACCTCTTTCCCTGCAACTTCTCCAAGAATGACGTTATGCTCAGTGCTGTCGTCATGACCTACTGGACCAACTTTGCCAAGACCGGGTAAGAAGAAAGTGGGGTTCTTCTTCTTTGGGCCCCCAGCTTGCCCTCTCCTCTGCTTCCCTATCTAAACTTCTTCCATCATCTCCCTTCCTAAGATATTCCCCAAATCTTGCTTGGTAACCCCTTCACCCCCTCTCTACTTCTCCCTTTTGAGTCTTTCATGCCATTTCCTTCCCTCAAAAATTTTGTTGAGGCTCAGAACTTGGTTAGCCTTAGGACTCAGCAGGAATGAGAGATACTGGCAGAACTATGGGATTCAAGGTTAGATGGTTAGAGGCTGTGTGAAGTGGGAATAAAGTACATTCAGAAAGAGCCTTTAAAGGGCTTTTAGAGAAACTGGGCAGCTGAAAAGATTAATGGATGCTCAGTGGCATGTGAGAAGAAAAAGTGTCTCTAGCATGATCTTACAGGATGGGCCCAGGGAAGGATGAGACAGTTTCTATGGTGCCGTGGGCAATAGGAGTTCAAAGCCTAGGGAAGAGTTGGGATATGGACAGAGGGAGGGACCCTGAAAAAGACAAAAATGGTGGGAAGTTTTGGACTGGGGAAGAGGTTTAGGGGTGGATGTGAGAGGAAGAATGCTGGGCCCCTTCCTCATCTAGGTAGAGTGGTGACCCCAGATTTTCATGTGGTATTTCAGGGATCCCAACAAGCCGGTCCCCCAGGATACCAAGTTCATTCACACCAAGGCCAACCGCTTTGAGGAAGTGGCCTGGTCCAAATATAATCCCCGAGACCAGCTCTACCTTCACATCGGGCTGAAACCAAGGGTCCGCGATCATTACCGGGCCACTAAGGTGGCCTTTTGGAAACACCTGGTGCCCCACCTGTACAACCTGCATGACATGTTCCACTATACGTCCACAACCACCAAAGTGCCGCCCCCAGATACCACCCACAGCTCCCACATCACCCGCAGGCCCAACGGCAAGACCTGGAGCACCAAGCGGCCAGCTATCTCCCCTGCCTACAGCAACGAGAACACCCAAGCGTCCTGGAACGAGGACCAGGATGCAGGGCCACTCCTGGTGGAGAACCCTCGTGACTACTCCACTGAATTAAGTGTCACCATCGCCGTAGGCGCCTCCCTCCTGTTCCTTAACGTTCTGGCCTTCGCTGCCCTCTACTACCGTAAGGACAAACGGCGTCAGGAGCCCCTGAGGCAGCCTAGCCCTCAGAGGGGACCCGGGGCCCCTGAATTGGGAGCTGCTCCTGAGGAGGAGCTGGCAGCATTGCAGCTGGGCCCCACCCATCATGAGTGTGAGGCCGGCCCGCCCCATGACACACTGCGCCTCACTGCGTTGCCCGACTACACGCTGACCCTGAGGCGCTCCCCTGATGACATCCCACTCATGACCCCCAACACCATCACTATGATTCCCAACTCCCTGGTAGGGCTGCAGACATTGCACCCCTATAACACCTTTGCCACAGGGTTCAACAGTACTGGACTGCCCCACTCACACTCCACTACCCGGGTATAGCTCCAGCCCAGAGCACAGCCTAGCTCCTGGCTCCCTCCCTCCCAGATCCACAAACACACATGCACACACAGACACACACGGACATGCACACACACACAGACACATGCAGACGTATATGTATACACACGCACCCACACCTGACAGCAGACCCACCTGCACAAACATAGACAGATGTGGACATGCACCCCCATGTACAAAAACACAAATAAAGAAGTAAACCTGAAGGAACCCTTTAAATGGGGACGCAAATGAGCCCTTGGGAAACCGAGGACCCGTGGAACAGCAGCTGAAGCCAGCTCCCTGAGCCTGACCACAGACACTCCTGGGGGCCTGAAAGCACCAGCTGGACACCCCCTTGGTGCTCGCCTTCCACCTCTCTTGGGACTGCACCACCGACCAACTCCAGACTTGGGAGTTTTAAAGAGCAGAGTAGCTCTTTCTCCCCCAGACTTGGTCTTTTTTCTGGGTCTTGTTTTTGTTGATTTTTTAAAAAATTTTGGAACAATTGCTTCTCCAACCCATGAGTGCAAAGAAGCCCTGGAAGGGAGGGCTCCAGGCCCAGGTCTCTCTGGCTCTGGAACCCCAGTGCTCACACAATCTGACCAAGGAACATGAGCCCCAAGAAAGGAACAGATTCGAGGAAGACCACCGGGTGGAAGGAGGAAGGTAGCCACCACTGAATGGGGTTAGAGGGCTCAAGGGGAGAACTCTCCAGCTAGCTCTGCGTCCTTGTGGAGGGCTGCAGAGACCACAGGGTGACCTGCTTCCCCCAAAGGCCAGGAGCTTTGACCTGGCTAGACTAGGGGACCCTAGATTTGGTGAATGAGGTTTTGTGGAGGCCATGTCATTATTGGGGCCCCCGGGTATAATCTGGGTTCTGCCTCTGCCCTTGGGGCAATGCTATTGGAAATTCGCCCCATTTTCTTTACAGAGTTTCTTTTCTGTCTGTCATTTCTCTTTCAAAAAGGCGGTGTTTTTTGTTGTTGTTGGCTTTTTTTTTTTTTTTAAAGAAAAGTTCTTAAAACACTAACGGAAACCCATGGAGTTTATCCTTTGTAAAAATTTTAAACACAGTGTCTTGATATAAAAATAAAAAATCCGGTTAGCACTCCCAACCTGCCTCCCTTGCATAGGCCTTGCCCCAACAGACCTCCCAGTAGGGCGTCTCTGTGGGGCAGGGATCGCAGCCTCCCCCTGCATGCTGTGCCTTTAAGCTGATACAAGTCTGGCCTGCACTCTGCTGTCCCCTAGCAGGAAGGCCTCTCCAATCTCAATCAGGTTGCTGTCCTCACCCCCCACCCCCGCCCCCCCAACACTCTGGGTTCCTGTGGCTGAAGCCTTCTCTCTGCACCTTGGGCCTCCTAATGAAACAGCAAAAATAACACTTGCTTCTCCTCTGCGCCACTGCTGCTGCTGCTGTCGCCACTGCCGCCACCCACTGCTGCCACTGCCACCATCGCCACCACCTTGCCCTTGTCCTGAACTGGGGACTGGGAGGAGGTTTGACCTCTAACATGCTGAAATTCTTTCTCCTATCTGAATCCAGTGCAGCATCAGATATGTGGACTCCTGGCCTTGGGTGACTGACGGAACAGGGGCCCTCTCCTCCCCAGGGATACTTGTTTCCTGTTCTGAGAATTAGAATTGGAGAAGTCATTGGGGCCCTGGGGGCAATTTCTCTCCAGGATTGTGATCAGTGGCTCCCTGTCAACCCTGGGGGACAGATTCAATGGGGCGCCACAGGGTTAGCATCATGGTATTTCATATTATTCTCAGTGACTTGAAGGATTGAACCAGGAGTTTGCTCATCAAGTGTGACAGTTGGGTGGGGTTGCTGACACCTCAGAAACCAGGAATAGAATTCTTCAAAGTGACCCTGACAAAATGAGGGAGATGAACCAACACAACAGCATGGTGTTCAGAGGGGACAAACACAAGGTGGTACGAAGGCCCAAACCAAGAACTAAGATACTAATATGGTATGTGGGTTCGAGAGAGAGAGAGGGGCAGTGATTGACTTGACACAGTAGAGTTAAAAAAAAGAAAAGAACTGAGGGGAGGGTGTCAGGGTGGGTCACAAGGTGAATGAGTCCATAGTGTAGAACTGGTTTTCTCCCTCCCTACATCCCTTCCTCCCTCTCACCCTCTTCCTTCTTCTCCTCCCTCCTCCCTCCCTCTCTCCCTCCCTCCCTTCCTTTCTTCTTTCCAAAATTAATGTGAATACTAGCATATAATAACAAAAATATAGCATGGAGTGCTGGGAAGTAATCAGAGTCCAAGTTTTAGAATTAGAAGTAACCTCAGAGTCATCTAGTCCAACCCACTTATTTTGTCATTGGGGAAACGGGTCCTGAAAAGCCCAACATCACAGTTAGTGTTAGAAACAGACCTAGAGGGGCGGGCCCCGTGGCTTAGTGGTTAAGTGCGCGCGCTCCGCTACTGGCGGCCGAGGTTCGGATCCCGGGCACGCACTGACGCACCGCTTCTCCGGCCATGCTGAGGCCGCATTCCACATACAGCAACTAGAAGGATGTGCAACTATGACGTACAACTATCTACTGGGGCTTTGGGGGGAAAAAAAGGAGGAGGATTGGCAATAGATGTTAGCTCAGAGCCGGTCTTCCTCAGCAAAAAGAGGAGGATTAGCATGGATGTTAACTCAGGGCTGATCTTCCTCACCAAAAAAAAAAAAAAAAAAAAAGAAACAGACCTAGAGTACAGTTCAGTAATATATACAATTCAGTCCTAAAGTTCAGGACCTTTCCAGTGGTCCTCAACTTTTCCCATTTTACCGAGCATTGGTTAGGCTTTTTAAAGCATTAATGGGTCTGTCCGTGGTCAACACATTTTCAGCATATGTGGAAAAGCTGGAGAGAGTCTGGAAAAGAGCAAAAACAATGTGCCAAAGGACCAGGCTTTTTTTTTTTTTTTAATTTAGAAAGGAGGAAGCTGATGCGGTAACATTCAGTAATTGTGGAGCACCTAACTATGTGACAAGTGTGCTATCATCTGCCAAAATGTAACTCTTAAATAAGGACAGAGCCAATGAGCTATTCTCTGTCTCTTTTGAGAATGACAGAGGGAAAAAGATTAAGTTAGACACACGGAAACACTTTGCTATGGGCAAGAGATGATCATGGCACTTAGTCAGCCCTCAGTAACAGTTGCCAAATTGCATTAATGACTACTAAGGAAAGCACTAGTCTTCATCCTCCTGAAAGCAGAGGACTGGATGACCTTTTTAGGTCAATTTAGAGTATTTGTTGTTATGATCCTTTGATTGCTTCTTCTCAGATATTACCAAATTGGGCCTCCTCTTCTTTGTGTGTGTGTGTGTGTGTGTGTGTGTGTGTGTGTGACCTCAAAATTAGGATGCTCTCTATTTGGGAGGATTTAGACATTGCCTCTCCTCTAAGAACTCAAGGTGCTATAGCAAACCCAGTTCCAATCCTATTTGGGACCCATCAGTGAGAGATTACAGTTGGTCTTCACACCTTTGAAAGGTCTGGGCAGAAGAGGTGTACTCCAAGACAGGCAAGGTTTCAATCTAGTTGACAGTCAATGCTGTGCCCGGGTAGCTTGAGTATTCTCAGCCCCATTGCTGACTACCAGCCTTGGGCCCAGCTAAAGAGCCCAGATCCTTGTTTGAAGAGGGGCTGAGGACATACTTGGACTTTATTTGACATTGCGGAAATCTTTAGTGCCTAGACTGGGTCCAGCCTGCATCCCTAGATTTATCTGGTTTCTATATTAGTCCTTTGGGGAGCTGGACACAGCTATCTTGGGATCTGACCTCGTGGTGTGTGTGAAGGGCTAGAGGTTGGTCACTGTGCAAATCTCCATAGGAAGTGAGTGTGGTCCTCAGGACTGTACGCCTGGCCCTGTGCTAGTTTATATACTATGAGGGATAGAAGATACTCCCTATGGGGTACACACTGTCAGGAAGACAAAACTGAACTATGATAAAATTAATGAAATGCATAATCTAGTATGTGACTTCAATTGTATGGTAAAGGTTAAAGGAGCTGGAGAAATTTCAAGAAAGGCTATGGCGGTATTTGGGTGGGTGGGTGGGTGGAATAGTGGGCATTCCCAATTAGGAGAAAAGCTTCAGCCAGAGCACAGAGATGAGAAGGTCTAGGTGTGCTTGAGGAGCAGTGAGGGAACTGACGTGACCGAAGCAGAGGGTTCAAGTTGAACGGTGGGAAATCCACTTGGAAAGGAAGGTTTGTGGTGGTCTTTATGACAGCAGAGGAGTTTGGGTGCTACTGGATGAGTGATGGGATGCCCTGACCTTTTCCTTTCCTGATGGTCTTATAAAGAGAAACAAAACCTCCTCAGGTCCTCTTTTGTTCCTTCTCTTCTGCAAGGAGGATTTTCAGAGTAGAAAGGACAAAGTGAGCACCCGAGAGAGGCTCCTAAATGCAGTCTCCTAAAGAGAGCCTTTAGCTGCTCTGAGTAACTCCACCTCAGAGCCTGGGTCAATAACAGCCCAGGGCATCGCAAGGACTTGGAGCTCAAGTTGCAGGACAACTGGCGGTGGCTTTGAAAACCCCATGGAGAGTGAAGGAGATGCACGCTGCAGCTTAGAGATGGGCAGACGTGGCTGCACAGTTTTTTACAAATGGGAAGAGATGAATTCCACAAATTAGCGATCAATATGTTTAATATTGATTGAGGGCAAGATACTAGAACAAATGATTAAAAGGATGGTTGGTGAGCACTTACAAAAGGAAGCAAAGATCACTCAGCCCCTGCATGAATTCAGGGAAAACAAATCATTCCCCATCAGCTCACTTCCTGTGATATAGGGTGACTGGAGGGGTGGATGAGAACGCTACACCTGCAGAGTATTTTGAGGTCAACAGACCATTCTCTCATGATACTCTTGGGGTAATGTGGAGAAATGCAGGGTGGGTAAAGATAAACCTAGGCAGATTCTTAACTGGTTGAATGACTACACACAAAAGGGTTCTGTTTTAATGTCACTAGATCAAATTTGAAAATTACGCACAGCTGGGAGAGAGAGACAAAATGTGAGACGACAGAATCAGAATTCATAGAGATGTCAAGAGGCTGGTATAATGGAGTCACTACAGCAAAATGAAAGCTAACAGAGACAAATATAAAGTCACTTATTTGTATTCCAAAATGTAATAGTACAAGTGTAGGATATAAGAGATGTGGCTTAGAGGGTTTTACAGTGAATGAAAGCTCATCATGAGCTATGAGTCAAAGGCGTGGTTTGGTTGCTACAAAAAGTATTATGACCTGGGGCTGTATTAATAAGAGTATAATCTTCAGAATAAAGGAGGTGGTCATCTTATGCTACTCTGCACTAGTCAGACCGCACCTGATGCCCTCTGTTCAGTTGCTGGCATCACACTTCAAGGGAGATGTCAACAAAAGTATATTCAGAGAAAGAGTGGTGAGAATAGCGAGGGGACTGGCAAATCCCAGGAGAAATTTGTCCATTGTCAGCAAATCATTACTGAGCTCACAGGGAAGAGGAAGCTGTAAATTTGTTCTGTGTATGACTCCAAGGGCTCCCAGATCTAATGGGTGGAAGTTATAAGAAAGCAGATCTTGGTTCAACATAAGGAAGATGCTTTCTTTCTTTTTTATAATGAAAAAATGATAATAAAAGTTTCAATTCATGATTCCAGCCTCTTGAAGTCCTTTTAAAATTTATTACCAACAGTTTCAGAACAAAGAAGAAAAAAATTCCTAATCTCAACATCCTAACATAAGGATTTTGCTGTGTTTAGGAAGAACTTTTTAGTGATTAGTAGTTCTCTCTGAAATTAGAATGGACTGCCCCAAAAGGTAGGCAGCTCTCCCATCACCAGAGATATTCAAGCAGTGAGCAGACAACCACTCTGTGTGGATGATGCAAAGGCAATGAAAGCATCTGATAAAGGACTGGAGCAGCTGACCTCTAGGGTTACTGAGATTCTATGATACTTGAGCTGGAAGGTCTCATGGTTAAGTATTCAGGAAAATATTTCTGGAGCCTAGGTGCAGGGCAGGCTGGAGGAGGAGAGACTGGAAGCAGAGATAACAACTGGGTAAGAGGCACCTACTCTGAGGGCTACAACTATTTTCACCTCTAGCC